GAGAAGACTGGGGACATCATCGAGTTTTGGCTTGGTGTCTTGGATGTGGCAAACATGGCAAAAGGAGTTGTGAATGTCTTCAATGCCAGCGTTGACCCTGCTGAATTCCTCAACGGCTTGGAAAAGGCATTGGCCCAATTCACATCAACTTCCAGAACTACAAGCACCATCAACGACAAGAGACGAGGATCTTTCGACCGCACCCTGCAGACTGCAGAAGCCGAAAAGGTCATGAGGATCATCCACGCAATCCCCGGATATGAATCGTTGAGTAACTTCAACTGTCTCACGGAGTGGGAGAAGGATCAGGTCATCTCTCAGTTTCGAAGAAAGCACCATATCACAGGGGACGACACCGACATGGGCGCTGATGCTGATGCCCAACCAGGTGACGAGTCGCCGACTCACCCTGGGGAGGAGGAAGCTGATGAGCCAGCAAACGACCCTACTGATGTGGTTAGGGACTCAGAGATTTCCGGAAAACAACAACTCCTGGATGCGTTGGGAAAACTCTTCACTGTCTCTGAGGATGTCAATGTGTGTTTGTACTGTGGTAGCGCCAAACATGGTCATCTCGAATGTGAAAATGAGAAGAAGGATGAAGTCAGAAAGGTGCTAAAGGCCGTCCGAGCGTCGCTCGAGGCTGATAGTCCTACATCTGATGACGTCGAGATGGAACCACCTGAGCACAGAAAGGACGGATCAGGTGCTACGAAAGGGTCAGGGCAAACGGATGAGCCCACAAAACCAAGGTTTGGTGAATACCAGTGGTACGACAGCATCAGGACTATGTCCGAAGTCGGAGACCTGGATGAATATGGTAGGTTTTGTATTGAAGGGCGTGATGTTACCAAGCTGGGACCCCAAAATATCGTTGATCTCAACGAAGTGATCCGGGACGCCATTGTCAGAGGAGGAGGTGACACTTGGTCAGTACCAGAGTTCCTCGCAAACTACTCCGACAACAACATCAGAAAACCCTTCTACAAACGGATCGAAGCGCCGCGAGATGGTTTCTTGAAAATCATCCCCACGACGGGAGCCCACTTCTTCAACTGCTTCTACTTTGGCGGTGTGGAGTATGCGGCAAACTATCGCTTCGAAACCGGTAATCGGCTCGACAGCTATGAGGACAAGGTGAGCGCCTCACTGAACAGGATCCTACGACACAATGTGGGGAAAGCCTCGGAATCACAAAGCTTGTTTTGTGACGATGCCGGCTGGGTACCCATTGAGGAAGTACTCAAGTGTGAGTCAATCTGGAGACATGAATACCAGCGTTGGCCGCATGTCTTCCTCGCCCCCAAAGGGAAAGCAAACGATCGAAATGCATGGAACGTGCAAGAGGCGAGCAAACGCATGGCGTTGCTGTTCAAGATCATGTTCCACTGTGCCCGATATGGACGTCGTGTACGTGAACAAATCTTGGCATTCGGGATCAACAAGGACATTGATCGCAACAGCCTGACATGCATTGACAACAACGTCAACGCGGACACGCCTATTCCCGACGAGGGGCTATTGCTCTATCCAGTTGCAGTTCGCGCTCCAACGGGGCACAAGGAAGGATCCTCCAGAGACGACGTCTTATTGATGTCCTCCTTGCTCTCGCATCCGATTGCGCCCAATACCATCATGTCATTGCCGGTTTGCTTCCACATCACGAAGAAGACCAACCTCCGAAGCATTTGGAGGGAAGGACTAATTCCGGGAGGTCTTGGAGAAGGTCATCGTATGTTCACGTTCTTCAATCCATACGTGCCGTGGGATCATAGATCATGGACTATCACGAAGAGCGTTGACACGCGAAAAGGGGACTACATCTGCCTCTTCATCCCGACCGAGACCCTGATGGTGGAGTACGGTGGTCGATTGACGGATTCGGGACAGATCGTTTCGCCAAAGATCATCCCGTTCTCAGCGATCAAAGGAGGATGGATTCAAGATCCAAAGGATCAAAACAACAAGACATGGCTCCGGTTGTTCGTTCCGTCGGGCGACGACCAGGTAGTCCGGTCAGGCACTGTCAAGTCAAGAACTGTCGCCACCAAGGAGTCCATTCTGAGGATCGCAAGTCAATGCATCGACGCCGAAAAGCAACCGTATGACGAGATCACCATGGATGCAATGAACATCGTCCACCAATTTAGGAACAATCTCATTGAAGCTGGTGGGCAAGAACAATACCTCGCCCGCATCAAGCTGATCGACTACATCGTCGAGCGCAAGAGGGTGGAAACTTCAGGTTGCCGTCATTGTCCTCATTGCCTAAATGAGACGCCGACGAAGTTGGCGGTATGTCTAGGTTGCTGGACAGAGCTTGAGAGCTGTGGAATTCGACCATATAGACTACAAGCTCCTGAAGACGATGAAGACGAAGCCACAAAGAAAGAGCTCGACGAGGAGGTTCGCCGACAGGAAGAATCGTTGTTCGAGGATACGGTCCACCAAGCACAGGAAAACGTACCTGAATCCAACGATTATGGCTTCAATCCTGACGAGGTCGACTACAACGAAGGCGATGACGAGGAAATGGCTCAGGAGGAAGAGACCCAGCAGGAAGACGATGAGATCGTCGAAGAGGACGACGATGATGACATGAACGTCGAACCTGAGAATGAGCCTTCATCCAACCTGCCAGCATGGACCAAGAATCTTGTGCCTGGAGGCAAGGGTTTGCCAGGAGATGGTCTAGTAAACAATGATGTCTCCGAGGCCGCGGCTCACTTGTACGACAATGCCGTGATGTCAAAGATCATCGCAATGTTCAGACTCTACTACAACCAAAGAGTCACTTTGACCCCAGAGGACTACTATGCGTTGATGACAGCCACCAAGCGAGTCCGACTGGACCTGGACGACTTCTGCCCCTACACGGGCGAAGATCAGGACGGCAAACTCAAGCGACCGACTGAGCAGGAATTGGACGCACTCTTTCAGGAGAAGGGGAAGAAGAACTCATGGTCAGAGGGAGAACTGATGTACTCTGGACGGCCGAGAAACATGATGATGCCTGTCATCAAAACTCTAGAAGTTTACGAAAAGATGATGGAGTTTCTCATCTGTGCCGGGTACACTCCCGAGTCCTTAGGTTTCCTCATGCCAATGACGAAGATGCAGGGAGATGCAAAGGAGAAGCAGGAGATGAGGGTGACCATTAGCAACTTTCTCCGACGATTGATGAAGGGAACCTTTCCCGAATATGAATCATACACCTTCTTCCGTTCCGGGAGCCACGGCTTCCCCAACTGCATTGAACTCCCAGCTTTCTCGGTATATCTGAGTCTGAGAGAAAAGGAGCAAAGGGTGGAACTACTCTTCGCTGCCCAACAATGCGGTATTCCATTACCTCGCAACTTCATCAGCAAGATGGCTTACGCCATTCAACTCGCTGAGTCCGAGGCGATGAGGGGAAAGTCCGAAATGAAAATGAAGATGGCTCCGAACCTGGGGGACGAAGTGGTGAGTGAAGTATTCAAAGCAGTCGGGGACAGTGCTAGCACCAAGCGTGCCGCTGCAGACGCGAAAGCCAGATTATCAACACAGCCTTCACAGAAACCTAAAGATACTGGTTCAGCGTCATCATCTTCGGCCAGTGCACCAAAGGCTAAGGCTATGCCGAAGTCTTATGAACCATCTAAAGCACCACCTGCGAAGCCTCCATCGCCGAAAGCTGCTCCGAAACGCGCGGCAGGTTGGGAGAAATCTCAAACTACACCTCAATGGAAGAAAGTCCGCCGTGAGGAGTAAACCAACAACCTCTGTCCATCCAAGTGATCACTGGACTATAAGATGTGTATCGTCTTTGTGAACAGATGATCAGAAAAAGACCAATTGAGAGGACTCTGAGCGAGGCAGTAGACTAATTCGCTTAGGTTCCATCTTTTCACTATTCCCAATCTGCACGATTTTTTTTTAGCAATGTGCACGTAAATTCGCTAGTTAGCGTCAATAGCTATTCTTGGTGGAGCAGTCAACTTCCGTCGTCGATGGAGTGACTTGCAAAGCCGTAATCGTAGAGTAGCTGCAAACTAGCGACATTTAACGATGTACAGCTCGAACCTGCGCCAATGCATTGCATGCCATAGAGTAGGCAATCCCGGATCCACTACGCTCGTCGGGCGTGGGTGAAGGGAGAGCCGAATGGAAAATGCGTGTACAAAGGCGTAATTCGTGCATTACAAAGAATTTAATTCAAAGTTCCCACTCTCGTGCCTACGGTTCGAAGACGCCGTAGGCATGGGGGGTGCGAAAGGGAACTAGACCATACAATCACTCAACATGCTGAGCATGTAGGGTAGGAAACAAGTATGCATGTACCGCCAATTACTTTGGCTCAAGATCATGCGTGAGGAAAAAGATCGGTCTCCGAGTGCCATGCCGTGACGTTGCCCAGCATTACCAGCACAACGGGTATTTCAATCAAAAGGGATAATCCAGAACAAGGATTAAATTGTTCACAATATATATATATAGATATATAATATACATACATATACATAATCATACATCTTTGTATCTTTCATATTCTTTTGGTGCCTTCGTAATTGTGAGGAAACATGTCCACAAGCTTGAAGATGAGCACCCCGGGGATTTCAGTATCGTGAGCCCGCCCCCATTGGCCTCATCAAGGATTTCCAAACCGCGGGCCTTGTCTGGGGAAACACAGCGCGCAGCAATCGCCACCATCTCAAAACTTGCAGTATTTTGTGTGTAGTATCTCATGGATACCCTCACAGATTTGGATATGACATATAATTATGAATAAGGGTGATTCAAGAACTGAGCTGAGCAGTATTCTCGCAGCGCCATCAACCCGTCGAATACTAAATATGCTTCCCTTTATTAACTCTTTGTCCGCCTATTCATTTTTTTTTAAGCCGTGGGTTTTCTGGTTTTCAATCACACTGACACAAGATGACACAAGTACCATTTGACTTGCAAGACAGATTAGTTAGGTTGTAGGACATCACAGGAGCCGCTTGTCTTTTTCCACCTTCCTACGCTTTATCTTCGGACTTTTCTGGCATCAACCGGCTGGTCTCGTCGATGATGAGAGCCTTCTCATACCAGTCCCTGGCTGCCCAGTGATCGTGCCGACATCGCATCAGACAACTCCCAAACACTACTTCGTGACTAATTGTGCGTTGCAAAGCACATTCCCATGGACATCAGCTTGATAGTAACTTGGCTGGCTGGAACACAGCGCAGGTTTCTCCAGCATGACACGGAACATGTGAGATTATATCGCAACATCTTTTCGCAGCCGGTTGCAGGCCCCTAGCCCAGAAATGTCAACATGTATCTGAACATGTGCATGAACATGGAAGGATTTGGACCCTGCTCATCATCACCCGTCACTTTCTGGATAAGTGAGGACAAGCGACTCTGATGCTTGCCATGCAATCAGGTGTAGTCCGGACACTAGGAAGCACTCTGACACCTCCGCAAAGAAAGGACTGGGTCATTCATTGCCTTGCTAACAAGACCATCTTTTAACTGCCTTTCAAATTTCGAATTGTATGCGGCTGTCTTGTGTGCTGATAATAAAGCATTGGGGCGACTGGCATCTAGGCTGTCAATAAAGGTAGTAGGGTGCATTGAAAAGGGAATGGGAACATGTTACTATGGAGGAATTCCGTATATACGTAGGTTTCTAGATAGCTAGTGATGCTAGGTCCGGGCGATAGTATGTACAAGCACAACGCATTGGAGCAAGGAAGGGATATGAAGGGATCATCATAGGGGGAGGTCTCTAACTGAAAACAGGACGCAGCACTGATTGCCTGAGGTGTGAGTGTCTTGAAGGACTTATGCGTCAATTTGGAGAGGGTAGTAATCATGGTGGCTATCCAACGATACTCAAAGAGCCACCAAATTCAAATGCTCTTGTCCATCGAGGGGTTGGGAATGGTTGGGACTTAAATCGTTCCCAATCTTGAAACGAGATGTCAATTTTAATCAATTGTTCTGTTCTTTCACCTGAAACACCAAATGACCGGTCATGTTTGCGCCACCAATCAGACTTGACAAAGGCACCATCAGTGTCGAGTAGAAGAGCTCAAAGTGAGCCTCAGTGAGATCAACTCATGGACCTCTGGCTTTGACCTGTTATATAGTCTTAACATGTCTTAACCAAGTTCTCAGTACATGTCTTTGCCATTCTTAGATATTCTTAGATATTCTTACCATTTCTTACCATTTCTTACCTATGTCAGCCTATGTCCCTAAGATCTCGTGCTGCCAAGGTTCATCGTCCATTTCCCTTAGCGTTGCACAGGCGCACAGGTGTATGATCTGAGGCTGTCAGCAAACAAAAGCGGAGTATGCGGAGTTTAGTTTAAACTTTCTCTTGAGACAGTGCCTGCACATGCGTTTGGGTCCGTCTTCCCGATCGTGCCTCTCATGTCCTGTGCTGCTTCAAGACATCATATGCAGATACTTTGACGGGCAATGAAAGCTTTGCGGTCACTACTTTCTGAACCATGTAAGGCTTGAATTGGCTTTCCCAAAAGGGACAATTCATGGACATTGTCAATGAGCACCGGTGGACGGATAGCATTTTGCTTATTCAGCCCCCCAGAGCAGCTCAACTCGTCCAAGGATCATAATCTGACCAAAAAAAGGGACTGACTTTGCCAGTTTTTGCCCCTCCTCACGCTTGCTTGGATCGGCGACAGCGATCAATGCAATTATCACAGCATGCAGCAAGTCAAACCAGGGTACAGAAAATGCCACCTTCCTCATAAAAAAAACTCCGTGAAATGGCGGGCCATTCAAACTTTCCGAAATATGAAATATCTTGTACGGAACCGTCCATTGATCATGCGCGTAGCCACAAGCAGTGATCATGAGTCGCAAGCCAAATAAAGCCGCAAACAAAACATGTTTGCAAACTAAATCAGTCTAAATCTGGTTTCCTTTGGTAGAGTGTGCTGCAGAGCTTGCAGGATGTAGAAGCATCCTTTCCTTGGAAAGCGCGCACGCGGAGATGCGAAACAAGCAGAAGCAGTACGAGTACCAATCAGTACAAGTATGTACAAGTACTGTATCAGAATTGGCTTGGAATGGCAATACAGTTGGCATATTTGCAGGATTTTGCAGGTCTCCTGGCCAAAATTTCAACAACATACGCGCAGCTGTGAGCCAGAATGTGTGAAACAACAAAGCATGACTGCGGATTGATACATTTCCAATGAATCCGTGTCTCAATCCATCCTGTCCATATCTGTCCATATCTGTCCATGTCAAAGCTTAATGCATCTCAATGCTTACCCCTGCCGGGAAATGCCGGGAAGCTGGAAATATGCGAAGGACACCAGGATCTTGACCTCAGCCGACAAAGTTTGCAAAGCTGTGATTTGTCCAAGTTCAGCATAGTTCAGCCGTTGATTTCTGTTCCAGGCTGCAGCTTGAAATCGCTTTGCCAAGTTCAGATATCGAGCGGCTGTGATGAACTTCAGCAATGGGCTATAGCCTTCCAAGTTCTTGTGGAATGTTCTCCTTGCACTGCTGGCTCGCACAAGAATACATCTCATCCGAATGGAATCAATGACTGCTTGTCAATTCGGGATTTCGACTCAATATTCTTCTGCTGCAATAGACAACAATTCCGGAAAGGTCCGGCCAAGTTCTCCGATACAGTCCAATACCATGATGCGGCATGGAACAGTGGCAATATGAAATCATCTTGGGTCTACATGGGGAGGCCCAGGAGGAGGAAGAGGAGGACGAGGAGGAACAACATCTGTTCTGCGTGGTTAATGAATTTAAAATTGGGAAGGGTGAAACTTCAGTGGAAAGGCCTGAGTCGTCAGTGAAATCCCATTATATCCCACTCTCTTTCCCTCTCTCTCTCTCTCTCTTTCTCTCTGTTTCGGATTTCATCGCTACTAAGACTTCGAGCGGCTCGACCACAGCGATGTTCCACAATGCCACGCCAGAGGCCACGAAACCAGCACCCGTGAAGACCGTCAAAGAGTTGTCGAACTCTTCAGTGGAATTCACAGCAGCAAAATTCAACAAATACAACCTCAGGCGACTCAAGCGACTCAAGTCACAAGTTCTGCTCAATGCAATGTCCAAGGCAAACATTCGCAGAACTCAATTCCAGGCGCTTGCACAGAGCTGACCCGAGTGACGTGTATTTTTGGCCCAATTTCATCAAACTATTCAAGACAATACCGTACCATATGACGTGCAAGGAAGTAGATCAACACAGGAGGTGTTTGATGCTTGCAAGATTCGACCACCCAGTCTCAGCAAAGGAAACGAGAAGAAACATCATCACACTCGCCTCAGTGTCCGGAACTGAAACCATTTCAGATTCTATGTTCAGGCTGTTAAGGCTGCCTCTTATTAAGGCTCACGAAGTATCGCGCTTCTGCCACACACTTTCTTTGGGCATCTTTGAGCTCTCAAACCCTTCATCTCTGCTGACAGGCTCAGACGGTTGAAAAAACCACTAGGCTTCTGTCGCCATACAATAGACCAAGCGGCCCAAACCATCGCCCACACTGCAGCATGTGAGGTCAACATGCCTGCAGGGGGAAACACAAACACAATGAAACAAACACACTGGTCACAAAGGGCTTCACAGGCATGGCTTTACGTGTTGCCTGTCAGCTGCAAAGTAGATCAAAGTAGTGTTGAGCTTACACGAGGCCTTTATATCGGTGCATTATTTCACAGCCCTGCAGAGAATTTCCCAAGAAACACACAGTGTGTCAGAGCTCTTTCCAAGTCTTTCGAATGCAGTGCTGTGTGGCGTGTGGCCCCGTTCGCAACTCTAATCTGCACATGGTGACGCCTCGTGCTTCAGCTTGTTGATCAAGCTCGCTGCTCTGCCGTTGCCTGGCAGACTCTGAGATTGCGCTGCGTTTCAGGATGATCAGTTGATTTTATGATATTTTATGGTACTGGTATGTACGGGCGTGGTTGTGTTATGATAAGTTCGATGGCGCCAAACAAGGCACAAAAACTAGATGTGGCCGTTCGCTTTCTCGAAAGTCTTTTCTTGATGCTTTCTTGATAAAGTTCCACCGTCTTGCAGATGACTAGGTACCTCTAGTAATTGAAGTCTGTTTCTGCAAAGCTTAGGCATCAGGTGGGGACTTGGAAGCCTTGTCGGCGCATGAGCACTGCAATGCCAACCGTGCCGAGCCTCTGAATGGAAGCCTCTACGACATCCAGAGTCATCTTACCAAAGTGGTACAAAGTCCTAAGTGCAAGGCTGCAAGGCTGTAAGGCTGACGGCGTTGCCGCAAGTCTTGCGTGTTGTGCAATGAGTGCCTGGAAAATGCCGTGGCCCCCTGTGGCACTTTTGCAATCTTTTGCAGATCAAAAGAGCCAATATTCTGGCGACAGCATGAGAACGAACGATCTTTGACATTTTCAGAGGTTTTACTTCAAAATGCTCAATTAATTCAATTACAACAACAAATGACATTCAACACAAGGCTGCTAAAGCTAAATCAGGACATCCGACTCAGAATTTTGAGCACATCTTGTTTCATATTTGATCTTGGATTTGCAGGCTGCGTGTTTCAGCGATGCCAAGCGTCCCCCTATGATCCCATATGGCCAAACACAAACATGACGGTCAGTGAGGCCTCAAGATACATTATGATACATTGCAGATCGCAGTCAAGAATCCAGGACTCAAACATGTCGCCAACAAAGAAGCAGGTTTCACTCCTGGACAACCCGAGTCTGTGAAGATTGCCTCCAGACAACTTCAACATTCCTCAACTCCAAAGAAATCCAAAGAAGACATCCAAACCGGCTGGTGCGGCTTGCGTCAGCATTAATTCAGTCGCCTGTTCGCATCTTCAGGCATTGACAAACGAAAGTGTGAAATTGTGATTGGGTCTGAACATGTTGTATCATTTTGTATTATTACATCAAATTGAAATCGGGTTGTTCTTGACGCTTGGTATGCCTGCAGGTGATGAATCCACTTAGTACCGCGACAGTTTGGAGACTTGGCAAACCAGGCATTGCAGCATTCGCTCCTGGATATTGCGATGCTCTCTTGTTGGGAGGGGGGGAGCTGCAGGATGCTCGGTGTGTCCACATAACTCTGCACCTGAAAGATTCGCGAGGAAAGGGCCAGCGAAACACAGGTAGAAGTGTTCCATCTCAGTCCTGTCCTGGTCTCGGCTTCTATCCCTTCCACTCATCTCCACTCTATGCAATTCTCTCTGGTGGCCCCGACATGAAATTGATACAGCCGCGTCATGCCTTGCAAAGGCGCAATGAACGGCATTCGACGAACAGGTGGCAAATGTAGAGGAATGTGGTAAGCAGATTGTTTATGAGACAATGTGAACCATGTGCAAACCCTTTGGTCCAATGCTTCCGCTTTCACCGACTTTCTCATGCCATGGACCAAGTTGCTGCTGTATGCCATGCCGCCATAAACCGCCGGAAGCGCAATCACTTGAAGCACCTGGCCGTAGGCCCCTGGCCAACTCCTGGATTTTGGATATTCGTTTGAACATGTATGAACCACAAGAAAAAATCATATAAAAAAAGCAAAATTTTGAGAACAAATTCCCTATTAGATCACAAGAGTTTCCGAAATTTGCGCATTGCTTTGCCTGTGAGTTAGATTGACAGATTGACAGCGGCTGTCGGCTCCACCTGATCATGGTGCTTGGCAGCTACGCCTCCGCCAAAACGCACTGATGCAGCACGCGCTGCTCCGCACAGCTCGACCGGTAATGACCAGAATGCGCAAATCAAAACGGATCAAAATAGATCAACCCCAAGTTGAGAAGCATCAAGCTGCATCAGGTCTTGGCTGGGTTTAGGTTTAAAATCTTTGAAAATGGTTCGAACTGTGAACAATTAAATGATTCTCCAAATGTCTCAAATTGATCTCCAACTTTCCTCTTTCTTCCATGCCTGAGCGAACCAGAAGAAGATGTTGACCAGACTGGACGAAGCACATCTGTCCAAAGCGCTGCAGGTGAAATACTCAGAAGCCGCCGCCAGCTATATTACCTTTCTTTATATTTATTTATGTTTTGATATGTTTTGCATTTCGACATGGACTGCACCTTCGTCTTCTCTTATATTCCACTACCATTTCTTTCATCAAATCTGTGAACCACCAGCACTCACTTGGGGTGAAGATAACGTGTGCCCTGTGTCAATCTTCAATTCTGGGCATCACCATCGGCCACATTCAATTCTGTGGCCTATTTCTCCGATGACCGGAAACAGAACAGACACAAAGACGAATCATGACGAATCCAAGATTTTCAGGAACGACTACGATGATGAGACAGGTGCAATACTGTGCAGTGCCCCGTGCAATGCTCTGTGCAATCACATTCTGCGCGCCCAGGTACCAGGAGGGTGATGAAATATGTCCCAGTTGTGCTCAAGGTCAAGGGGTGAAGCCACTTTGGCAAACCGGACCAGCCAGCCTCCCAGGGACTCCCAAAAACTCCCAAAAACTCCCAAAATGCATCTACTGCTTCTATGAGTTTTATGGCTGGTGCTCAACCAGTCTCTATGACACTTTGACAGACCCAGGAGATATACAAGTAGATATACACTATACAATATAAACAATATACAATTAGAAGACAAATAAGTATAAATAAGTACATAAGTGACATTTTGAAATTCATCAATATTTGCCTTGGCATTTGGAAAGACTATCCTTTCTTCATAGAGTGGTAGCTGACTTAGCTGGCACAAAAGAAGGCACCTTTCCATCCTGCTCCAAAGCCGTGGAGATAAAAATCACGGAGTTGTAAATGAAGAGGAAGAAGAGCAGGGCATAAAGTACCTAGGGAATTCCCTAAGTATTCCCAACATATTCCCTAAGTATGCTAACGTTGAACATGTTGGTCTCTGAGTCATTGTCACTGATGAATTGCGCTTGCTCCTAAGAATTGTATTGGACCTTACACAAAGAGATGCCTCATGCAACTGGTCCATGGACATGATTTCCAAACATCATATACGTGTTGAATATGGATTAATATTGTATAAATCAAACTTTCGGATTCAGCCAAAACATGCCAAAACCTTCAGAGCGGCGAATGTGTAGTTGGCTTGTTGTATTCGCTCTGTCAGAAACGCGAAGGGAAAGAAGAAGCGCCAAATGAACAAGAGCAGCAACGCCCTGGGCCGGATCATCAGTCAGCCAAACACTGACAAAACATCTTGCCTGTAGACATATGTGGCTATCTATCCATTGCATCCATGAATCTATAGTCTTATTATGCCTTATTTAACTGTCCGGTTCGAGATGCTGCTGTGACTTGCTTTGATTTGAGCTTCGCACACGAACATAATGGTGCCAGTGTCCCACATCGCAGCTGCGGATGCGGATGTCATTGCACACCACAGATCGCACACCACAGAGAGATAACTGTGGCGTGACAATGGTTCCTAAGCCCACCAGAAACAACAAGACACGACAAAACAACGGACAAATCAAAAGGGCTGAAGCGCTTGAAACCGAACGAAACCGAAACCGAAAGGTGTCGAAAGGTGTTTCCGAATCTTTCCACAGTTTCAGATCCTGTCCGCGGTTTCAGCAGAGTCACAGTATCGGGTCATGAGCTCCAGAGCTATGCCCATGAAGACTTGAGCCAAGGGATTGGGAAACTGAATCAAGAGAAAGAACTGTGGCATAGCCTGCTCCAACGCCTCAAACCATCTCAAACCATCTCAAACCCTAAGTGAGGCCACAAAGCACCATGCCTTTCAACCTTCACAACGGACATGTGCAGACTACATACTACTTTGACTTAGTGACTACGGAATCAGGAAACATATGGCCACATTGTCACGTTGTGTCAAGCGTTGTGTCACTACAAAAGGCTCGAAGCTGTTTGACGCATCATTGACGCATTTTGACGCTCTCTGGGCTCCTGACAGGCTCGATTTGCATCAATGCAGAGAGCGCCGACTCGTCCAAGGCTTTGCCTCTCGACAGATCGAGTCTGAAAGAAACAGAAACTGAGTCACTCGTGGTATAGAATCACGGTATAATGATGTATTCATGATGTATTCATGATGTATTAATGATGTATTAATGATGTATTAATGATGTATTAATGATGTATTAATGATGTATAATGTGGATTGACATGGATTAACATGGTACAGTCACCACTGCGCGCAGTGAAGGCTATGACAACATAGACTACATGTTCCACGATGCCTATAACAGTTTCAACATGAATGCGAAACGATACTTTTGCACTACCACGCTACAATATGCCATATTAAGTGCCTTATACATCCTTATACAGCCTCATACATCCTTACACTGCATTTGTACCTAGAATACCTGGATGCCTCTCGATTGCTGACTGCCCCAAGAGTGGCCCCTGCACTCTTTGCTCCTTGATGCTCCCAGCCTTGCTTGGCCCAAATGCCCTGCTTGTTGACTGCAAAGAGTTTTGCCTGTCGCCCGCGGTAATCGATGGGGCATCTTCTAATTCGATAGACATGCACGATTTTCAGCAAATAAACATTCAATAACCGCCCAAAACTAACTAACATGTCCGGCAAAGTATTGCCACGCAGCCTGCACAGCAAGTCGCTCGAAAGGCAAATCCTCAGAGGTGAAGAACAACATAGAACAACTGTGAAAATGAGACATCACGTCCTGACAAACCCAAGTCCAAACCTCATCAAACCTCTATGTTTTTGCTGGACCTTGGAACCTTTGCTAGCTTATATGGTACGCATCAAGTCTTCAGTGAGCAGACTTTGCATTATATACGTATGTTCATGTCCTTCCTACAATTTGGCAGCTCTGTCTTTGCATGGCAGTCTTTCAATTCTCACATCTTCCCTTTCAACATCGTTTAATCGTTTCCGTTCAAATTTGCCATATTTGCCGAGCTTGACTCTTTCAGTTTCAAACGGCTTCAAAATGCTTGAAGCATCTTGAAGCGCTTCCAGCATCTTCCAGAGCATTCTTATTGTTCTTCCATGTTCTTCCATGTTCTTCCTATTAGCATCTTATTACAATTCTTAGCCCTTAGCTGCCTTAGCTCTTCATGTTTGAAGGTCACTGAGCTCCCAGGCGGCGGTGCGTCGCTTCGGGGGCTGGCCCTGTCCTGGCACCTTCGGTGATGCCACAGGTGCCGTGCGCGGGCCGGAGCCAGCAGGACCGGCGCCGGCTCCGGAGAACTTGGGCCCTTTCGGCCCCTTCGGCCCCTTTGGCCCCTTCCCTCTGGGAAGGACTTTAGCTGCAGAGGTTCCAGCTGAAGCCGGGGCCGCACGGGCCGCCGCCTCAATGTTGAAATATCTCGAAGTGGTAAGTTTCAATATGAGTCTCAACGACTTTCGAAATGTAAAACCGGAAGATTTGAACTAGTTATTTTGAAACATGGTTTAAAATATGAACATGTATAGACTTTTAACATGATGAGTATTGTGGGGATTTGTTGAGTCTCGGTGAACACAAGGAAAACAATACTGTGCAACAGGATATTCCCGAATTCATCCGAATTCTAAAGCAAAACTTAGCTTCCAACAGGCTGGTGCTGGACTGAGTGGCTTTGCTCAATGGGAGCAGTGGCCTGCGCATCGCACAGTCCGGTTGTAGAACCGGATGATGACCAAGACCAGGACCAGGGTGACGACAATGACGGTGATGATGAAATGAAGCGAGGCGAAGTGAAATGGGCCGAAAAGGACGAATGCTAATCAACAACGGCAATGGGAGTCACATCTATTTCAAGATTGGAAGACTGTTTCAAGCAAAGAACCAAGCTGCTGCTAGCTCTTGTGGAGCTTTATCTTCGTCTTTTGGATGTGGATCTACAGCCGTCGTGTGCCCTTGAGTTCAAGCACAAATAAGATCTCACACGCACCCGCCGTGCCGCAAGGAACTCTTTTTGAACGTGCTCGGCATCATCTGTCTGCTACCTCTGCCGCTACCTCTATTCTCGCATTTGGACCTCCAGCTGAAGCTTTGAGAGTTCTGAAAAGAACTGCAAAGACAGCTGCAAAATGCTGTAACTGACAGTAACCCATGTGTCTGATTTTGCACTCCAAAGTCAAGTGGTGATCGTGTCTCTGGGTCCATCTGAACTCCTTGGGAAGTCCTGCCTCTTTGTGGAACTGTGGCCTTGGCCTGGCAGGACAGAACGAGGTGGATTCCGAACACAACCAGAGATGAAAATGTTAAAAGTTATGGAACGACGATTGAGCAAACATAAACAAACGACATTTCGAAAGACAGGACTCTCTGACTTTTGCATTGTGCTCGTGGCCTGTGGCTGATCCTCGCCAACCTCCTGCCTCAAAGTCGCGCCGGTTTCCATGAAGAAATATGAGATGTGTTCCCGATTCTCCAACTCGAGAGGTGATTCACTGCAGACATGTGTGTACAACAAGGTACTTCTCTGAGTTGCTTAAACCCAATTTTCTCTCAAAGGGTCTATTTGTTTACGGCACCCGAAGATCAGTGACCAAACCGGTTATAGGAGGCAGAAGCTTTGGACTCCATGGGTATATAAAGTGAAGTCTGTTCCCCACCACACAGCACAGAGGAATTCGATATAAGGGGCACAAGCTTGTATCACATTGCAGGGCTACATCATTGCTCCTGAGCAAGATTCCAATGGCCCATGCTGTTGGCATGTTAAATTGTGTTAACCCATTGTCTGTCATTGTCCATGTTCGTTCTCGGGTTCGCGTGGGCTGAGTTCTTGGCGGCGCCACAACATCTTGTGTCCGAGCCATCCTCTCCTCGTGAGCTGATCACGTCAACGTCATTTTCACATCTTGAGATTCTCATATGGAATTTGAGTCACCGTTCGTGACGGTTTAATACAAAACATAATTCACATCAAGCACAGTCTTGGGCTGGCCTTAAAGGCAAAGCAACATTTCAGCAGGAATCATGAGGGATTGGGTTGGAACACAAGCCACGATTGATGCACTTGGAGTCAACAAACGGATACCTTCAGAAATCTACCGACTTCATCGAAAGGTTGGCAACGGCGCCTTCTGCTGCAGTGCCTCCAATTCCTCGAAGAAATCTGCAATGCCCCTGGACAAAAAATCCAATCCGTTTCGGATACATTGAAGTGATTGAAGTATCACGAAGCGAACTTGTTTCTTTTTTAGGATCCAAATCCTCCCTAGACTTGCACGTTCAGTATGCTCAGTCAGTATCACTACGAAGCAAGTAGTTGTCAAAATCCCAGTTTAGGATAGACATGACACAGTCAAACAGAATCTATGTTTCAGTCTAATCCTGTGGTCAACTTGTTTCTGAAGTTCGACTTCTGAATGTCGCTTACCGGGGACAATTGTTATTGATCGAACAACTGCTGCCAAAAGAGACTGTCTCTGAACTTGACGTATCTGTTTTAAACATCCTAAAAGAACGGCGCAAAGGAGCAGCTATCAGCCATGGCTTCTGGAAGTGCCATTAAACACCATCTGAGATAGATAAAATTAACTGGCCAGGTCTGTCATAATACCAAATTTCTGGACAGCACAAGCATTTAGAGGTAATTGGAACCAATCCTATGGTCCTATGGTATTCCTTTGAAGCAATGAATCATAGTATGATTAGTATGGCAGTGTGTGGATTGAAGAACTCTGCCCAAACCTGCCTTTCCGGATGGTCCTGTGCATTGCACGGGTTGTGGCTTTGACATGGGATAATTAAAGAATTTTAAAGAATCTGATGGAATCAGTGTAACACGCAGGGAGTGGGCAGTTTTGTGAAGTGGCGATCCGTTCCAGGAAAATGGCAGACTTAGGACGACTTGGTTGGTGTAAGTTGACTGACAACTTCCGTCGTGCTAAGAAAACATAATTTTCCATAGAATTCATGCAATAGAAGTTCCATAGGCTACAGAATCGATAGATCAGCCAAGTTCAGCTGCAAGGAGCTTGTCAGAGCTTGGCGTTTGTCATTGCTATGCATTGTGCATTCTGTGCATATCTGTGTGCAATCAGAGCGGCCCTCGGAGTTGCCTCGTTCCGAAGCCGTAGGTTCTCATCCAGCGCTTCGCGGTCCTCGAGACAGCCGCTTTGTCAGCTGCACCAAATAGTCACTCTGGGATTCTCTTGTTTTTGATTGCGAATGTCCACAATGAAAGCATGTCAGACATCTTCATTAGCAATAGTCTCAGTCTTGGCCACTTTGTTCATCAACATTTCACAGCATCGTCAAGAACCAGAGATGTGTCGTCATCCCCCCATTGGCTTCCCATTGTTGCGCTGCACCTTCATCTGTTCGTGCACATCGCGTGCTTGTTGTTTCAACCTGGTACCAACGCTCAAAGGAATTCTCAAATGAGTTCTGGCTTTTATTTCTGTTGAATTCGAATGAAATTATTCAATGCGTCCAGTGCCACTTTTTTGGAATAAATTCAACTTACCTGTTGGGAAGACTACCGGAGAAAAAAACGGCACTCCAATGCTGCAAGCGACGAACACAACACAACATAACACAACATAACACAACCATCATCTCCGCACCTGTCGTTGGCTTCTGGAAAGTAATAAAAGAGGTTGCCTTGTTGGCGCCTTGGAGGGCCAACTTCACTAGTCATGGCACTCCAAAGGTATACATCTGCACCAGGCAAACTCTGAAATTGCGCCCTGGGCCCACGATGTACATAGTTATACAATTGATGTACATAGTATTTTTTTGCTGATTCTGGGCAAACAATCTATTGAGCACATATGGTACAAATTACATTCACAACATTTTTTTGTATCCACAAGTGGATTCTGTACCAGGCAGTTTCTGACGTCAGGATCAAAACCCCATTGCTTCCCTGGGCTTCCCACGACTCACGTGCCAAGGCAAGGAGCCTTCAGGCGGAATACCACGCATGCACGAAGAGTTAGATGATGCATAAAGTGTTGCAGGTGAGAGGAGCCGGAGAGGAGCCGTTATTGTGGTGTTTGATTGAAGGTGACCACAGTGACCACAGTGACCAAAGTGACCAGGGTCAGAGGGTGGAGAACCCTGGAGCAGAACTGCGGAGAAGAGTGGAAAACATCACAACGCCAAGGCAAAAATAAGCCCATAGGCAAAATGCTTCCCAACCTCTCGTGGTCAGGGTCACCAGCTGCATGGCAAGTCGCCTCCTGCAAGGAGTGCATGGTCCCATGGTGTCGTCCATTTCCAAGCTTGGGACCAGGAAACCGTTCCACAATGTTCCATAATTCATCGCACTCAATATATCTCAATATCCTCTCATACCATCTCACACCATGATGGTACTAATAAGTCTTAAATTTTCTTGATTTATTTACTCCGACAACGCTACAATTGGAGTACAATAGGTATTTCAGGCATCGCTGCTCAGACTGATAGAAACTGGACTTACCTGAAATCCTGAATACATCTACGGTGTCTGTTGTCTGCAATTAAAATTACCCAGGAATATCTGTGAGTCTGGCCTTTTTTGTTGAAGATGAATCTATCATGATCTATCATGATCTATCAATCTATCACCCTTTTGCAGGATCTCAAACTAAACCACCGGGCGCATCTTGCTGATATGGTTGATTGACCATTTCCCATTGGACTTAAAAGCGATGCATTGGCCCAAGACGAAGATAGAAACACGTTTGTACTGTAGTACAAAAACAGATGACGATGTTTGAGTGGCTGGGTTTATCCTAATGTAAGTGATGTGTACTTGGGTCAGCAAAAAAAGAGAAGATATAATATTATATAATGTCTGTTTAATTCGTTTATCAGTTCATGTCGTGTCCGGTCGATGCCATTTTTTTCTCGGCCGAACTTGGTCCCCTGGAAAACCACCCCCGAAGATGGCCACCAAAAACAGAGAGGGAAAAGGGAAAGGTGCCTACAGCATCCTACTCGACCTGCTCATAAATTCAAACAATGCACAGGTACATTTGCTATTAGGAGACGAATCATCTCAGTGTTTGAAGCATTCTAAGTGGAGGTAGCAATTTAAAAAACCTTGGCTTACCCTGCCAACAATGAATTGTAGTTCTTCTTCTTCTCCTGCTTCTTTGGATGATAAAATATGATAAGATTGAGAAATAATACGCTAGATCCATCAAGATCTCAAATATCGATACGATAACCAATTTTGCGAAAATCTTGCAATATCCATCCCAACTCACTTTGGACGTTGTCTTTTCTTCAATTGACAACAACAGAAGGTGCCACTCTTTTTTTTCCAACGGAGGCTACGCAACATGTCGGCCGTCAGAGTGCACAGCACAGCAACACATTGCTTTGCGATACCTTGCTAGCAGTTGCTATCCCAAATGTCGGTACGATAGCCCATTTCGTGAAAACGCGCCAGAACATTCTCCGCGCGTTTTGCAACGATGTCATGCAAGACGTCAGGGCTGACTCCATGGGCTTTGCATTCCCTCTTCCCTTCAGTATACAGGACTGCCCTGCTGCGGATGTGGGGTGAACGGCTTTTGTGACCTCCCCGGCCAAGTGTATTTTGTAAAAAACAACGACAAGTTCTCAGCAGAAGGTTTCGAACCATCAGGTTCCCATCTGGTCTTTCGGTCTTTCCTTCAGAGATCAAATCCTGTGCAACGTGTACGGGATCAAACTGGCGCAGAATGCCGCAGCTTGAATAACTTTTGGGTATGGCTCGGACCTGAAGCTCTGTGATGACTTTTTTGGCGCTTGGACGCAGCATAGTGAGAGCTGCCTGGAGAAGCGCCCGCCATCGCAGCAGTCTCAAATAGTCTCCTTTTGCGGCGGGAAAGGGAAAATATGTTGGATATTGTTGGATAGATTTGCAGCCAAATGCATTTGCGGACAACTTGTGTGCCAGTACAAGGCAAAATCTTCACGATTCCCTGACCAGAACAAAGTCAAAGATATTGAAAAATCCATCGTTCCTCAGCTCCCTAAGCAGCTCCCTAAGCACTTCCTGAAGCACTTCCCTAAGCAGTTCCCTGAGCCCCCGAACCTTGGGTTTCTGCCTTGGCGGCTCCGCCTTGGGCGCCTGGAGCGTGTAGAACGGAATCGCAATATATACTTTAAAAAATAGAAACCTATATATATATATATATTATACATATGTATAAGTATATATACATATGTATAATATATACATATGTACGCATTTTTTCAAACATCAAAAAATCAAGAAACACCTGGGATCAAACATATTGTTTAAGGCACATGGAAAAGAAACTTGCAAATTTCACACAGTGGGGTCTGGCTGCGTTTCCAAATTGTCCTCCCAAGATTGGCTCCTGCGCTCGAAGATTGGCTTGCTCCAAGCGCCTCACCAGATGTACATAAGCTGTACCAGTGTCCGCTGAAGATATGCTCACAAGATATGCTCACCCATCTTCTTGGTCTCTTCAAATGTCATATCTTTTCCACCTGACATCTACCCGAAGAAAAGCCTGAAAAACATCAAAAAAGCAGAGCTCCAAGAGTGAAAGGCGCGCACGAAGCACTTGAGCACAAGGATCGGATCAAAGTTGGTACAGTTTCTTTCTTATTCATTTTTCGTGCTGTTTCGTGCTGTTTTCATATCAACTGAGGGTGGTTGGGACCTCAGAGGCTCCGGCTTCATCATCTTCTTCTCATAGGCAGTAAGGCCTCCAAAGCCACATCCATCAGAAACATTCAGACACCGCAAATCACGAAAACTCTGAAAACGGTATTGATATCATAAATATTCATAAATGACTTCTGTTCTCGGCTGAATCTCAATCCACTTCACATGAGTAGCAAAATTCTGCTGAACCGATCAAACCCAGTTTTCTGTCAAAACATTCAAACATGAAAAAAGTGGAAGTTGATACATACTTAATAAATCTCAATAATTACATATAATTATATAAATTATATAATAATTACATTTCGAACGAAGCTGAGTCCGCTGCCTTTTTAAATCATAGCTGGCTCAAGCAACTCTTCAGCAAGAACCCGTGTCATTCAATCAAGCTGGTTGAAAGTATTGTTTAAATATCCTTCCGCCGGTTTCAATGGCCACGCCCGGCATGAACACTCGCAAGCCTGCTGGCATGGATGACTTCCTTGGGACACGCACCCCAGATCAAAATTCTCAATCGTCAGTCGGTAGCACCTCTCTGTCTCTTAGTATGTTCTACAATATGGGGAGAGGCCAAGTTTTGACGTCATTCCTCGGACCAGTAAAGCATTCGATTCTTAGTGTACCCAAATTTCATCCAGACAATTCCTCATATTATCTTATATTACAATATGTCATATCATCGCATTTCTCCACAAAACAGTCCGTTAGCAAAGGGTGACCAAGATGGACGTCAAGTCCTTGACCCCCTTGAGATGCATTGAGTATCAAACTCTTGGTCAACTCCGTGACCAAATGACATGGCGTTGGGCCAATTTTGATAGATTGCAGGGAGTGCAGGCACTCTTTGGACCTTTTTTTGGGCATTGGTTAAGTCCCTGAACACGAAAACACTGCTGAGATGTGGAGCAAGAGGTCCCTGGATGAGGGTATCGTGACGTCAAGGTGGATTCAGTGATGCGTTTGCAAGCAGGGACTTCAGAAATCTCACATGATCTAAACCCAGTTGAGGTCAAGAGTCAAGACAATGTGTTCCACCATACCCGGAGTGCTTTTAACTTGGTCAGTGCTACAGTGATGCAAAGGAAACCGGTTGATTTGGTTCATTTTTTGTTTTGATCTACTTAAGCCAAAAGAGCTGAATCACAGGTATGCTGATGCCATGGCAGGTGTCTTGGCAGCTGAAAGAGCTCTTACATGCTCTTACTATCTGGTGCTCAGAGAGCTTTGAGCCAAAAGCCATGTGTGTCGCAAATGACAAATTCGGCAAACGATTCAAACGATCGGATCATCGTTGCCATGGACCTCGGTGGAACCCGCCCATTAGACCATTGCTCAACCGCCCAACCATTGCCCCAGTGCGCCTGTCTCTTGGCCAGGTTGGCCAAGCTAGCCTCACTGCGATCGAAACGAACCCCACCCAGAGGCTGAGGGCAGAGAGGCGGTCAAGGTTGGTCACGGTTCATCTGAAACTCAATTCAGTTGTGATGTCTTTGACATTGCTTGACCAAGAGAATATATAATATATTATATCATTATATCTATCTACAAGGCATCTACAAATATCTACATGCAGCTATGCATTGTAAATTTCCGAAACGCGGTCCCAAAGAGAAAATCGCAGTTTCGTAGGGAGACAGGGCTCCACACTGTGATAAAGTTTGAGGGGTTGGGCACCTGCGGCTGCCAAGTTGGGATTGGATTCTATCTCGCTCTTTAACCAAAACGTGGTACAAGAAGTGTCCAAGATGGTACAAGCAGTGGTTGGCACTATCCATCCGCCAAAAGACTCTGTGTCTTTACAAACCCCAGTCACCAGTCCAATTGTTCACTGACACATCTGGCATTTCCAGACAATGCGCTGTCATGAGCTGTCAACGCGCTGGAATTTGGATACATCAGTTGGACTTCAACAATCCAGTTGTGACCGAAGAACAAACTCCGGCAGCTGCAAATACTGCCTCTCCACGACTCAACAACGCCTGACCGCAACGGGCATTGTGAAAATTCTAAACATGTGGCGTGAACCTGACGCGAGTCGACTTTGTTCGCAGAATTCACGCATGGACTCTGCCGAGCAATATAAACATGATGCATCTCATTGCATATCACCAATCAGATATTGTGACCCAAATGTGACACATGACAATTGAAAGGGTGACATGTATTTGTGTGTGTGCGTGTGCGCACTTTGCGTAGGCCTGTAAAACTAAAGTTCTACCTAATTGTAATATTACATTATATTACAACGCATCACTAGCTCTTCAATTTTTGACGCACATAACATGTGCAAAGGCCCTCGCCTGCATCAGCACTTCTGCATCTTTCGCATCAGCTGCTGCCAAGCCCCGCAGGGCTTCGGGCGTTAGCTGGCGGACATATGTTGTTTTCTCTGATGCTTGATACACAAAACAACTCTGCCTCCACACATGCGCCTTTCATTAAAAAAACATAGACACAATTAATTAATGACAGATAATGTTGGGTCCTGATTAGTGTGGTGGTACACTATTGCTTCCCCAGACTCCAAAATAATTGTGAACCTTTGGAAATGATGCCCTGGTACAGTATTGTGTCCCCAGGATTTTGGGGTAAGTTTTTCAGTTTTTTTTTTTAAATTTTAAATTGTTTTAAATTATGTTCTATTTTTTTGTTTAATTTGATTCAATTTTTACAAGTTAGTTTAATTTTTAAATTTCATTCGTATTTTTTTATAACATTTTTTAATTTTTATTTTGATTTGAGAAACTATCTAGTTTTAATTTTAGTTCTTATTTTTTTCAAAAGTTATTTTAATTTCATTCGTGTTTAAAACATATTCTTTTATCAAAGGAAGTTTAGGGGGAGAAACTTCCGTGTTACGGACTTTTAGAATGTCAGGGAAAGAGTTAATCAAAGAAAGAGTTAGCAAAGAAAGAGTTCGTCAGGGAAAGAGTTAGTCAAAAAAAAGAGTTAGTCAAAGAAACAGTTAGTCAGGGAAAGAGTTAGTCAAAGAAAGAGTTAGTGAGGGAAAGAGTTAGTCAAAGAAAGAGTTAGTGAGGGAAAGAGGGAAAGAGTTAGTCAAAGAAAGAGTTCGTCAGGGAAAGAGTTAGTCAAAGAAAGAGTTAGTCAAAGAAAGAGTTAGTCAGGGAAAGAGTTAGTCAAAGAAAGAGTTAGTGAGGGAAAGAGTTAGTCAAAGAAAGAGTTAGTGAGGGAAAGAGTAGTCAAAGAAAGAGTTAGTGAGTTAGGAGAGTTAGTCAGTTAGTCAAAGAAAGAGTTAGCAAAGAAACAGTTAGTCAGGGAAAGAGTTAGTCAAAGAAAGAGTTAGTGAGGGAAAGAGTTAGTCACAGAAAGAGTTAGCAAAGAAATTGTTCCCTCACTGTAAATGGGATTGCAAGTGGTGCTGGTGGAGGAGTTGCCGATGGAGTTTTGAAGGAAGTCTCGCACGACATGCGTTTTTGAGAGATAGCAGATGCACGAAAGCCTATGTTTTTCCATACAAAGTTCGTCCCCGAACCTCGATGATCTACCTCTGCGGTGCGACGGGTGCGAGACGGTCTCGTGTGTGGTCGGATCATGGTCGGATCATGGTCGGATCGGTCTCGGACCATGGTCGGATCGGTTCCGCATTGTAAATGGGGTTTCAAGTGTTTTTCGTGCATGCGCGGTCGACAGAATTCCATTGTGGTTTGCAACTGTAGGATCGTTCCCGCGATGTAAATGGGATTGCAAGTGGTGCTGGTGGAGGAGTTGCCGATGGAGTTTTGGAGGAAGTCTCGCACGAAATGCGTTTTTGAGAGATAGCAGATGCACGAAACCCTATGTTTTTCCATACAAAGTCCGTCTCCGAACCTCGATGATCTACCTCTGCGGTGCGACGGTTGCGAGACGGTCTCGTGTGTGGTCGGATCATGGGCGGATCATGGTCGGATCATTCTCGGACCATGGTCGGATCGGTTCCGCATTGTAAATGGGGTTTCAAGTGTTTTTCGTGCATGTGCGGTCGACAGAATTCCATTGTGATTTGCAACTGTAGGATCGTTCCCGCAATGTAAATGGGATTGCAAGTGGTGCTGGTGGATGAGTTGTCGATGGAGTTTTGAAGGAAGTCTCGCACGAAATGCGTTTTTGAGAGATAGCAGATGCACGAAACCCTGTGTTTTTTCATACAAAGTCCGTCCCCGAACGCCGATGATCTACCTCTGCGGTGCGACGGGTGCGAGACGGTCTCGTGTGTGGTCGGATCATGGTCGGATCATTCTCGGATCGGTTCCGCATATGTAAATGGGGTTTCAAGTGTTCTTCGTGCATGTGTGGTCGACAGAATTCCATTGTGATTTGCAACTGTAGGATCGTTCCCGCAATGTAAATGGGATTGCAAGTGGTGCTGGTGGATGAGTTGCCGATGGAGTTTTGAAGGAAGTCTCGCACGAAATGCGTTTTTTTCTCCATTTTGGCGCTAGTGATTTTCCTTCTAAAAATCCTTTTAAAAAGTGCTTCAAAATCGTCTTTTTTTCGCTCTGGCGTCGAGATCCGGTTTTGGAGCTACAATTTCCGACGCCGTTGCGCGTAGTTCTATTGTGTTTTGCAACTCAGTCTCCGCAGATCGCATTGTAATTGCTGTGTCAAGGTTGCTTCATGCTGTGGCTGCATGCGTAATACTATTGTCTTTTGCAGCTGGACTTCGTAAATCGTAATGGAGTGGCTGCATGAAGGCTGCGACAGTGATTTGTCAGCAGATTTTCTCCATTTTGGCGCTAGTGATTTTCCTTCTAAAAATCCTTTTAAAAAGTGCTTCAAAATCGTCTTTTTTCGCTCTGGCGTCGAGATCCGGTTTTGGAGCTACAATTTCCGACGCCATTGCGCGTAGTTCTCTTGTGTTTTGCAACTCAGTCTCCGCAGATCGCATTGGAATGGCTGCGTCAAGGAGTTTTGAAGGAAGTCTCGCACGAAATGCGTTTTTGGCGCTAGTGATTTTCCTTCTAAAAATCCTTTTAAAAAGTGCTTCAAAATCGTCTTTTTTTCGCTCTGGCGTCGAGTCCGGTTTTGGAGCTACAATTTCCGACGCCGTTGCGCGTAGTTCTATTGTGTTTTGCAACTCAGTCTCCGCAGATCGCATTGGAATGGCTGTGTCAAGGTTGCTTCATGCTGTGGCTGCATGCGTAATACTATTGTCTTTTGTAGCTGGACTTCGTAAATCGTATTGGAGTGGCTGCATGAAGGCTGCGACAGTGATTTGTCAGCAGATTTCCTCCATTTTGGCGCTAGTAATTTTCCTTTTAAAAATTCTTTTAAAAAGTGCTTCAAAATGGTTTTTTTGTCGCTTTGGCGTCGAGATCCGGTTTTGGAGCTGCAATTTCCGACCCAGTTGCGCGTAGATCTATTGTGTTTTGCAACTCAGTCTTTGCAGATCGCATTGGAATGGCTGTGTCAAGGTTGCTTCATGCTGTGGCTGCATGCGTAATACTATTGTCTTTTGTAGCTGGACTTCGTAAATCGTATTGGAGTGGCTGCATGAAGGCTGCGACAGTGATTTGTCAGCAGATTTTCCTCATTTTGGCGCTAGTGATTTTCCTTCTAAAAATCCTTTTAAAAAGTGCTTCAAAATCGTCTTTTTTTCGCTCTGGCGTCGAGATCCGGTTTTGGAGCTACAATTTCCGATGCCATTGCGCGTAGTTCTCTTGTGTTTTGCAACTCAGTCTCCGCAGATCGCATTGGAATGGCTGCGTCAAGGTTGCTTCTTGCTTTGGCTGCATGCGTAATGTCTTTTGCAGCTGGATCTCGTACATCGTCTTGGACTGGCTGCATGAAGGCTGCGAAATGGATTTGTTAGCAGATTTTCTCCATTTTGGCGCTAGTGTTTTTTTGTTGCACGTAGGTTTAGAGCAGTGTGAAGTGTGGGGCGTGAAGAGTGCAGTGTGAAGTGTGCAGTGTGAAGGAAGCAGTGGGAAGTGAGAAGTGTGAAGTGTGGAGTGTGAAGTTTAAGTTTGGAGTGCGAAGAGCGCAGTGTGAAGTGTGGAGTGTGGAGTGTGAAGACTTTGCTTCGTCTCTCGCTGAAAAAATCAACCGGTTGTCGAGGGAAGGACACGGTCGGGACAGGTTGTCTTTGAACTATAGGTCATTTATGTTTGGGAAACTTCCGCCGCCGGCTTGCCCGGGTCTATGTTAATTATATTGATCCTATGATCCTAAATAATTGTGTGGGGGGTCCACTACTGTGTCCAGGTCCAGCTTCTTCCTTTTTGATTTTTTTTCAACATTTTAAAGTTTTTTCTTCACTTTCTTAGTTTCTTTCACTTGATCACTTGAAATTTCGACATTCCCCCTCTTGAAATTTCGACATTTCCTGTCCACTTGAAATTACAATCTGATCCACAATAGTATGGTTTGTTTGAGGGGTCCACTATTGTGCCCAGCTGCTTCCTGAGGTGATTTTTTTTGGACACATTTCCTTTATCTTTACCTTTGCTAAAGTTTTTTCTTTTACTGTCTTAATTTCTTTCATTTGAAATTCTCAGAAAATTCCAATTTTTCGAATATATATGATGCCTTATTAAAACCCATTATGAAAACATCACTCAAACAATTTTTCAAGGGGGTAGTCCATGAGCAACTCTGATCCACAATAGTATGGTTTTTTTGAGGGGTCCACTATTGTGTCCAGCTGCTTCCTGATGTTTTTATCTTTTAGAAACATTCCTTTTATTCTTTTCCTTTGCTAAAACTTTTTTCTTTTACTTTCTTAGTTTCTTTCATTTGAAATTCTCAGAAATGCCCAATTTCTCAAAATATATGATGCCTTAAAAAAATATATTAAAACATCACCCAAACAAGTTTACAAGGGGGTAGTCCATGAGCAACCCTGATCCACAATAGTATGGTTTGTTGGAGCGGTCCACTATTGTGTCCAGCTGCTTGCTCAGGTGATTTTTTTTGGCACTCAGCAAAAAAACCTTGAGACCAATTATCTCAGAACGAAGGTGAAAAGCACTGAGCCTTGCTCAGTGCAAAGCTGCAAATCACTCAGTCTGAGCAGAGTTTCAGGCAGTTGCAGCTGATGTTGATGAGGTAGGTGCAGCTGAGGTGCTGAAGCTGAGCTTGCTGAGATAGCCAGGGTGGGTGATTTGAGCAGTTGCTCAAATCAGTTGAAAGTAAATTGAAATCAATTGAAGTAAATTGAAATCAATTGAAAAAAATTAAAATAAATTGAAAATAAATTGAAATCAATTGAAATCAATTGAAAGTAAATTGAAATCCATTGAAAAAAATGAAATCAATTGAAACCTATCAATTTTTTGATTCCACACTATTCAGAACCCGGTCCTTGGAAATTTCTACACTATTCAGTACCCAAAATTAGTTTCGCGGGGGTCCAAGTCGCATAGGCCGGAACTGTCTATCACACGGGTGGGGCCCCCCTACACTAATCAGGAGCCTACATTAATACAACTGTGCTCAAAACTCGCGGCTGTTGGGAGAAAGCAGCGTCACTGTACCCTCTACAATTTTGGTAGAATGCACTGTGCCACAATGTACCACAGCTTATAATCTGCTTATACCTTTTGCGCTTTGACTTGGTGTAAAAGTTTCTTGACTCATGTCTCCGCGCCTTCACACCTCGAGAATTTAATTGCTTCAGTTTCTCTGCTACCACAGGCTTCAGAACGACCTGTCAGGGCAAAGCTGAGCTTACTTCGAAAGGCACACCTGAAAGACTTCTCTCAAATCCTTAAGATCGTTTTCTATGGCCAAATTCAAGTCAGTGAAGGCATCTATGAAATTTCATGACATCCAACTCATAGCAACGTCGACAAGAAATGCTGCTGCGATGAAGAAAACAGCATCCACTACCGTTGAAGCAAGAATGTCTTAATGGCCTTGCCCGCAAGAACTTGAAACGGCAAACGCTGTAAAGGCTGCAATCCAAGGGAGCGCCTTCATCGTCACAGTTTTCGGCTGTGCTGTGCGTTGCTGCTCCTGGCAACAGCAGCAAAAGAAGGCAAGGCAGAATCAGATCGAGAGACACCAGTACTGTAAAAGATATGACATTTGCATTTAATTTTCATATCGATAACCCCCGCACAAATTAAACCAAATCCCGGGACAGGACAGACTACACCAACATTTTTAGGGAGGCACGGTATTTTTTAGAATGATATTGAATGCATAGTTAAGCCATGTTAAGCCTGACTTCATGTTGGGGTCCCGAGAAGTTTGTTCGGCCTCAACTGATGTATAAATTGTTTGAGAGGGGATCATGAAATGTTACTAAGATACACTAAGGCATACGCATTCTGATGTAGATGTACAGTGTAGACTTTACTCAACTCTTGTTTGCAAGTTGCCTTGTACGCTCTTGCACAGAAACCTCAAACATCGGTTGAAGACAGTGAATGAACGGGCGACGTGAGAAAGTTGCTGAAAACTGGAAACAATCTCAGCTGAGAGCGATAACTTTGCCAAAATGTGTGTCGATTCGTATCGGATTCCAATGGATTTCAATGGATTCCGGTTGCTTAAGGTTGCTTAACGTTGCTCAAGGCAAACTGCCGGCCTGGAGCTGCGGAGTTGGTGCCCGTGGCTCAGCTTTGAAGCCCTCACCTGGAAGCCGAACAATCCGAACATCATCATCAAAAGTCATCAAATTCTGCATGAGTCTTCCTGCCATTTTCTCGTCAAAGATCACATTGCCCATGGCCCATACACTAAATTTGAGAAAAATAAGAACACCTAACACATCCTAGCACCATAATTTCTCTCGACTTTTTGCAGCTCACACAAGTCTTTGATATCGGCATCAGGTGGGACCCTGTCGTATCCTGTCATAAGACTTCGACCCACTTGAGAACAGCATCTGCAACTTTGGCAGGAGCCTCATGATGAGGACAGTGGCCAGCGCCTTCGATTGGTACCCCCGAAGCGTTGAGCTCCGGCACGGCTGAGACAAAGCCCTGGAGACGCCTTGGTTGGTTTTCAGGTCCTCCGCCCAAGAGGTCAGCCATGCCTTGGCAAATCAACAAATTGCCACGGCTGGACGTGTTGGACGGCGTTGCACCTCCACGGGCGTATTCCTTCAGAAGCTCGTTGCTTGGTCGATTCGGCCCTAGCCGGCTGAAGCAACCAATGACGTTGCTGGCGAACGGGTCCTTGGAATCTCGCAGGATTTCCAGGGCCAAGTCCGCGACTGGTGTTGGATTGCTTGGGTACAGACTCTTGAGGATGCCCTCAATGTTTGGTTGCAGGCCAAACAACAAAAGCCACGCTCCAAAATCCACCAACCACTGAGGTGGCGGAGCATATTGTGGCAATTGAGCTTCCTCACCATATCCTTTTCTCATTCTTTCGAGAACAGTTCCACCACTGCTTTGCAAAAGCTTCTGATAGTCTTCCATACTCAACAAGGGACCAGCAGAGTTCAGCAGAACGATGCCACGGCAAAGGTCAGGACCAAGAAATGCAGCCGCAGACTGTGCCATGTAACCTCCAATGGAGTTTCCCATCAAAACCGCTGGCCTCCCAACTACACCAAGCAGAAAGTCCTTGACACATTGCTCCCATACATATTGAGTGATAGACAAGGGTGGCTTCTCTGCATGCCCAAAACCTATAAGATCTAAAGCATAGACAGGCATAGGTTTCTCTCTTCCAAAATGCAAGGCTTCTGCCAAACCGGTAAACTGCATACAGGAGGCTGCAAAACCATGAACTGCCAGAATGGGTATTGAATCGCAGTCTTCGACCGGTGCTATGTAGCGACACAAATAACCCCGCCATCTGAAATATCCGACTCTGGACACGTTCCTAGAAACGCTTTCATCTTTGACTTTTCCATTACCAGTGTTGCCAGTCTTGCCAGTGTTGCCAGTCTCTTCCATGTCTTCTTTCTTTTCACATGTCTCACCTGGCTTCATATTCCTGTTATAATTTTTATATTCTTTGCGTTCTTCCAGATCGGCCAAGGCCAAGAGTCGGTGCCACTCATTGGCCTCCAAGGCTTCCAAAGCAGCCTGGCAGTCTTCACTTCGGGCGCTGTCGCTTCCGTCGCTTCCAGCCTTCAACTCTTTGGCAACGCTGCGGAGTGAGATTTTCCCCAACCACAACATTTCCTCAGCGAGAGCTCGGCTAAAGACTTCTCCAGGTCTCAAGCCCTTGTAGCCATCAGGTCCCAAGGCGATACGGCGAAAGGCCCACTCTTCCTTTGAGTGGGGCAGAACATCACCTGGAGCTCCCCAAAGATCCTTAGCCACAGCTTCAGCACCTTCCTTGACATAAAGATTCAGCAAACGAAAAGCCTCATCTTCAGTGGCTGCATCTGAACCCAAACCGCGAAAATATTTCTGTTTCTCGCGAAACAGCAACTGCTCCTGACTGGACGAGTTCAAAAGAAGTTGCCGGAGCTGCTCCAAAGTTGGGATTTCACCCTGCCAATCGGATGGCACGGATGGCACGGATGGCACTTTCAACGTCGATGTCTCCGTTTTGTTCTCCAAGCTCTCTGAGTCTATTGGCCATATTGGCTCACTTGTCTCCAGTGCCTGGACAACTGAGGTGTAATCGTCATGCGTTTCACATTGACACAGGGAACCAGCTGCTGATCGAAGTGGTGCACGCCACATGTGAACAAGCAGGTCCTGACGGTCAGAACAAAGTTCATGGAGCCTCTCCAGACTTTTTACGCGAAGGTCCGTGGGATCTTGATGCACATAAAGGTCTGTCACCTTCATTTCTTCGCAAAAATCGTGCATTGTCTTGGCGGCATCCTCTGCAAACAAAACATGGAGGAGGATTCCATGTCTGTCCAACTGACTTTTCAAGTCATCTACAGCTACCTGCAACAAAGCCATACGACGAGATGACAACCTAGCCAACTCTTGTGACTCAAAGATATAGCAACAGAGAAAGCCGTTTGGAGCAGTTGCTGCTGCCTGCAATCCACAGTGATCTCTACTGCGCAAATCCCCAGCACGAAACCATACAGCAGCCCGGCTGGAGGGTTTCGACAAAACAGGCTCTGGAAGAACAATATCACTCGGCAAGACTTTCTGCAAGACTTTCATGGACTTTGGAAATGTTGCAGAACCTCTTGGCTTTCTGGTCGCACTGGTCGCCCCAGTTTGGACAGCATAAATCCCAGCAAGGGCACAACTGATCACGCGGCCCTGATGCTGGTTTCTTCGAGGTACGCGTCCTGTGCCTGCAGAGGGGACAAATCTCGTCTTGGGCAAATCCGTCAATCCACCATCTCCAAGTGCAACTGCGCGCGGAAATACATGCAACATTGCCTCACTGAGTGCTGTGGAAACTAGGTAACTAGATGAAATTACTTCAATTCTGTTGGACGACAATACGTTTTAATCTACCAATAGCTTCTTCTGTCTCAGCTTTGACGTGGTTGAACAAAGACAGCAGAACAAGAATTCTACCTGGGTGGTGTTCGCTAGGATTGCGCATAGCCATTGATTATCAAAAAAGTTCCGATTTCTTGCCAACTAGAAGTGCAAAACAGCTTCGTGCTTGAACCAACAGGCTGACGCCAGGTTCAAACATTGTTGGCGTTCCAAGTCTCTGACTAAGATTGCCAAGAGAAGCAACATGAAGCAAGGATGCTGGCCATGCAAAGTCATTCAATGTATTCAATGCTGCCGCATCGCTGCAGCAATGGTGACAATGGTACTCAACAATCAATACATTTAATTATCATTCAATGCTAACCACCATGCTATGACACGCAGGGACTAAACAATGCCGGGGTACCTAGGTGACTCGCACCAACCCCCAACGGTCGCTTTGCACCTTCGCAGGTGAAGTCGTGATATCACATGTATCACACATGTCATCAAAATGTCATCAAAAGTATATACTCAAAAGTCATCAAATGTCTACGAATCCAAACGCAAGGCAGAGGGGTGCATGGCAAAACACAGGGCAATCACATGGGAAGGTGTATATATAGCACGTTCTAGCACAGAGATTGCATGAGACATCTAGAGTGACTACGCCGGCTAGTTTTTGCAAAGTCATGACAACTTCCCTGCGTATCATGGAAACCTCATCCACACAAGCAACCAGAATCGCAGCATCTCTGAAACTGCAAAGAAACATGTTCAGCAATCAGTCTGCAGAAATAGGATTTGGAATCAGCAAAGTAACGCGAGAGCGAACCAAATGATATCATATTCACATCGTACATGTCTTGAGTGCTCGGATCATGGAATAAGAAAGCAAGCAACGAAACTTTAGAGCGTGACTAAATCCCAAGGATATCCAAGCCACAACAAATGATATTCCAGCAGTAACACTGCAACTCGGTCTAATGACTCATGACTCATGACTATGGAAAGCACAATCTCATCATAATAAAGAAATCTGGGTACCGCAATCAACAAAATGCGCATTTGTTGAATTGTCACGCAAACACGTTTCAAGGCTTTGAAACATGAGGCATACTACGTTTGCTATTCCAGCAACAAAGTATGTAACTTTGCAGCACAGAATATTGATGAATATGCTGCTTCAATGCTGTTTCCACAACCGGGTATTGGGGCATTGTTCCATGCAGTCGTAGAATTTAATCCGTGATATCACCCAAAAAAGCAGGGAACGAACCACGCATGCCTCAGCGAAACTGGTTGGTGTTTCTTTGTGTTCAATGATCATCAAAGCACTTATCAAAGCTATCCGATAGCTATCCAAACCGAGGTCCGATGCTCAGTCCGATTTTGACCTCCAACATCCTACAACCAAATACCCTGCCTTCAGGTCTGGCTGGCACCGCTCGTGGACCTGTTTGACTGAGATTCAACAAATCTATGCCCGGTGGGCCCGGTGGGAAAAAATCAAGCTTAACTCCACAATGACTGTGCACAGGGTCTTGAAAGCCTTGTTCCCCAGCGTTTTTCTGAAAGCGGTTTTGCATGCAACAGCAAGAAAGGCAAAATGCATGTTGTGATATTTTGTGAAATATGTGAACGAATGATGTGGGCCACGGTCAATCTTTATTATATAGCTCCAAGTCATCAAATTTTGAAGAGTGTATTATCGTTTTCCAGGTTTTGGGACACCATGTCCATATTCCCTGTACATTCCATTGTATTCTGATGGTTTTCCAGCAAGGGATGGGATGCTTCCTGACACTCTCAATGCAGCACAATCAAGCGAAATTCTCCGACATTCATTTTCCTCATGGAACTGTCACCACCACTAGCACAACCACCGCTATCACATCACAACCACCACTACCACCCACCACTGCCACCACCACCACGATCACAACCACCACAACTGACGAAAGCTTCATTTTCACATCTTCCACTTCAGTTTTTGCGGGATCTCTCGCACGAAAGCTTCGTTTTCACATCTTCCACTTTCATTTTTTGAGTGAATTCTCGCACGAAAGCTTCGTTTTCACATCTTCCACTTTCAGTTCCAACTGTTCATTCAGGAAACATTTGAGCCCTGCCATGTCTTGCACCTGCTTGCTGCTCATCTTAGACGAGCAACGTGCACCAAGAAACACAGATTTTCAGCGAGCAATGGGCCAGCCTTTGGCTGATGGGGGTTATGATGAATTATGTGTTTTTCCCCACCTGCCAGTTGAGGGTTGTTAGATTTTATCACAGTTGTTCTCCTCCTCCGTCTCCTCCACCTCCTCCTCCTCCTCATCCTCCACCTCCTTCTCCACCTCCTCCTCCCTCTCCTCCAGCTTCTCCTCCACCACCTTTGCATCCACTCCCATGTTCACTTCCGCCTTGCCAACTCTTCGCCAAGCTCTTCGCCAACTTCCGCACGCAGTGGGCACTGCTGGGCCTCAACTCCAAGGGTCTGAGCGCACTGGGCACCGCTGGACCTCAACCTGGGACCTTCCGAGCTCAGTGAGCACCGCTGGACCTCAACCTGGGACCGTCCGAGCTCAATGGGAACCTGGGCCTCAACCTGGGACCCTCCGAGCTCAGTGAGCACCGCTGGGCCTCAACGGCCAGATAGAATGCCAGAAGATATGCCAGATAGAACGCCAGGTAAAATGTCAGAAAGAATGCCAGAAGATATGCCAGATAAAGTGCCAGAATGTTTGCCAGATAGAATGCCAGAAGATATGCCAGATAGAATGCCAGAAGGTATGCCAGATAGAATGTCAGATAGAATGCCAGAAGGTATGCCAGATAAAGTGCCAGAATGTTTGCCAGCTAGAACGCCAGAAGATTTGCCAGATAGAACGCCAGATAGAATGTCAGAAGATATGCCAGAAGATACGCCAGACAGAGTGCCAGAAGATATGCCAGAACATATCCCAGAAGATATGCCAGGTAGAATGCCAGAAGATCTGCCAGATAGAATGCCAGAAGATATGCCAGATAAAATGCCAGAAGATATGCCAGATAGAATGCCAGAAGGTATGCCAGATAAAATGTCAGATAGAATGCCAGAAGGTATGCCAGAAGGTATGCCAGATAAAGTGCCAGAATGTTTGCCAGAACATATGCCAGATAGAATGCCAGATAGAATGTCAGAAGATATGCCAGAAGATATGCCAGACAGAGTGCCGGAAGATATGCCAGAACATATTGCAGAAGATATGCCAGGTAGAATGCCAGAAGATATGCCAGATAGAATGCAAGAAGATATGCCAGATAAAATGCCAGGAGATATGTCAGATAGAATGCCAGAAGAATTGCCAGTAACAAAACGTATAGATGTCATGGTGGGGATAACTCGAAGTAAAGTAATTTTGGTCATCGTTTCGTTTTCGTTTGGGGTATCGTTTGGGACACCTGGTTGAATCAAAAAGATCTGCGAAACAATGATTCTGGAAAACCCTTCTTTTGAAAATTCTTAATGCCAAAACGAAAAGCACAAACTCTATAAGGAATAGAGAAAAGGGGGGAATCTAGAGCACCCACACGGTTCCTGCCGCAAGGCAAGACCTTGTTCTTTTCTTCCTCCAGCATGGCATGTTGTCACTAGCAAGAGTTGAGGCAAAAGACTGATATATGGCCATAGAGTACTTGAAATTTACTCACCATGTAGCGCAAACAGCAGCATAAACAGACCATCACCACACAGCAATGCACATCACCAGGTACCGCCTGTTCAAAACAGGATTTTGCAATTCGCCCATCTCTCAAACAGATGGTGAATGCAATCTGAATGCCGACATAAAGGCATTAAATAACCTGCGCCGTAAGACAAAGGATGACTGTTGACCAAGATCAAACATAAGCAAATGCTATCGTTTTTTGAAGAGTGTAGTATCATTTTCCATGCTCCGGCTCAATTTCCTAAAAATAAAGATGCCCCGAATGCTACTCTCCATTACAGCAAATTTTGGCTGTAGCTCATACGGATGTAGAAGATATGCAGGGCAAACATCAGGTCTGCTGCTCAAATCTTTCAAAATTACTCAAAATTCGCATTTGCCACAATCATCCACAAAGAGCGCGATAAATTGTCAAGGCCCTGCTGCCTGTTTGTCTTGCAGGAACGTGTAGTTGCGGCCCTTTGGCAGAGTTGCCTTCAGATATTCCGATCAAAGCGTTGATTTCTAGTCAGACATGCTCATCAAGCACATGTACAACCCTAATTGATGGCAAGCAAGTGCAAAAAGAGCCCTCACGACAATGTGGCCTTACACAACAAAACACACCAAGAGCATCGTGATAAGATCAGGTAACGGCACTGCAAGATCTGTCAAACATGACTTAGCCGGGTGCAACTTTTCTGATGTTGGAAACAGGGGCTATTGTGGACAATTCCTTGCTTATGGCTGAGCAAACAATCTAGACACACATTTGCTTAATTCTGATGTGGATACTATTTGCATCTATGATGCATCTGTTATTCATCTGTTCACATCTATTTGCTTGAGACGCCGTAACGCAATCCTGGAGAAATCGGCCAGGGGCAATTCTACCCTAGAAATCGAAGGAATACTTGGTGGCCTAGCAAAGCAAGGCCTCAAAGCTGTAAATGCCCCCGCCTGGACCTGTGGGTGGTCCGGCCAGTTTTGGTCTTGTGGGACCTGTTGCAGCAAGTTTGCACCATATTGATCAGACTGGAAAAGTCAGGGAACTGTCATTCTGCATGCAACAGCAAGAAAAAGGCAAAATGCATGTCGTGATATTCTGTGATATTTTGTGAAGTATGTGAATGGATGCTATGGATGTAGAAGATGTGCAGAGCAAACATCAGGTCTGCTGCCCAAATCTTTCAAAATTACTCAAAATTTTGCATTTGCCACAATCATCCACAAAGAGCGCGATAAATTGTCAAGTCCCTGCTGCCTGTTTGTCGTGCAGGAACGTGTAGTTGCGGCCCTTTGTCAGAGTTGCCTTCAGATATTCCGATCAAAGCGTTGATTTCTAGTCAGACATGCTCATCAAGCACATGTACAACCCTAATTGATGACAAGCAAGTGCAAAAAGAGCCCTCACGACAATGTGGCCTTACACAACAAAACACACCAAGAGCATCGTGATAAGATCAGGTAACGGCACTGCAAGATCTGTCAAACATGACTTAGCCGGGTGCAACTTTTCTGATGTTGGAAACAGGGGCTATTGTGGACAATTCCTTGCTTATGGCTGAGCAAACAATCTAGGCACACATTTGCTTAAGTCTGGTATGGATAATTTGCATCTATGATGATCTATGATGCATCTATTATGCATCTGTTCACATCTATTTGCTTGAGACGCCGTAACGCAATCCTGGAGAAATCGGCCAGGGGCAATTCTACCCTAGAAATCGAAGGAATACTTGGTGGCCTAGCAAAGCAAGGCCTCAAAGCTGTACATGCCCCCGCCTGGACCTGTGGGTGGTCCGACTAGTTTTGGTCTTGTGGGACCTGTTGCAGCAAGTTTGCACCACATCGATCAGACTGGAAAAGTCAGGGAACTGTCATTCTGCATGCAACAGCAAGAAAAGCAAAATGCATGTCGTGATATTCTGTGATAGTATGGATGTAGAAGATGTACAGAGCAAACATCAGGTCTGCTGCCCAAATCTTTCAAAATTACTCAAAATTCGCATTTGCCACAATCATCCACAAAGAGCGCGATAAATTGTCAAGGCCCTGCTGCCTGTTTGTTGTGCAGGAACGTGTAGTTGCGGCCCTTTGGCAGAGTTGCCTTCAGATATTCCGATCAAAGCGTTGATTTCTAGTCAGACATGCTCATCAAGCACATGTACAACCCCAATTGATGACAAGCAAGTGCAAAAAGAGCCCTCACGACAATGTGGCCTTACACAACAAAACACACCAAGAGCATCGTGATAAGATCAGGTAACGGCACTGCAAGATCTGTCAAACATGACTTAGCCGGGTGCAACTTTTCTGATGTTGGAAACAGGGGCTATTGTGGACAATTCCTTGCTTATGGCTGAGCAAACAATCTAGACACACATTTGCTGAATTCTGATGTGGATACTATTTGCATCTATGATGCATCTGTTATTCATCTGTTCACATCTATTTGCTGAGACGCCGTAACGCAATCCTGGAGAAATCGGCCAGGGGCAATTCTACCCTAGAAATCGAAGGAATACTTGGTGGCCTAGCAAAGCAAGGCCTCAAAGCTGTAAATGCCCCCGCCTGGACCTGTGGGTGGTCCGACTAGTTTTGGTCTTGTGGGACCTGTTGCAGCAAGTTTGCACCACATCGATCAGACTGGAAAAGTCAGGGAACTGTCATTCTGCATGCAACAGCAAGAAAAGCAAAATGCATGTCGTGATATTCTGTGATAGTATGGATGTAGAAGATGTACAGAGCAAACATCAGGTCTGCTGCCCAAATCTTTCAAAATTACTCAAAATTCGCATTTGCCACAATCATCCACAAAGAGCGCGATAAATTGTCAAGGCCCTGCTGCCTGTTTGTTGTGCAGGAACGTGTAGTTGCGGCCCTTTGGCAGAGTTGCCTTCAGATATTCCGATCAAAGCGTTGATTTCTAGTCAGACATGCTCATCAAGCACCTGCACAACCCTAATTGATGGCAAGCAAGTGCAAAAAGAGCCCTTACGACAATGTGGCCTTACACACAACAAAACACACCAAGAGCATCGTGATAAGATCAGGTAACGGCAGTGCAAGACCTGTCAAACATGACTCAGCGGTTTGCTGAATTCTGATGTGGGTACTATTTGCATCTATGATGCATCTGTTATTCATCTGTTCACATCTATTTGCTTGAGACGCCGTAACGCAATCCTGGAGAAATCGGCCAGGGGCAATTCTACCCTAGAAATCGAAGGAATACTTGGTGGCCTAGCAAAGCAAGGCCTCAAAGCTGTAAATGCCCCCGCCTGGACCTGTGGGTGGTCCGACTAGTTTTGGTCTTGTGGGACCTGTTGCAGCAAGTTTGCACCACATCGATCAGACTGGAAAAGTCAGGGAACTGTCATTCTGCATGCAACAGCGAGAAAAGCAAAATTCATTTTGCTATATTTTGTGAAGTATGTGAATGGATGCTATGGATGCAAAATGCATCTTGTATATTTCCCCAATTAGCATGGCCACACTGAGGGGTTCTTACGGTAATTAAGTGTTACGGCCCTGTGTTCAATCGAGGTGGTGTCCGTCGCGTCCGGCATTTTCTTTGTCAATTTCCATTCAAAATGGCTCCTATGACATGTCCATGTGCATTTCAACTGCGCAGGCTCGCAGAAAACGGGTGCGCATGCTCGCACAAAACGAGAAATCTCGCACAGATATCTTGCCAAGAGATATAAGGAGCTTGTGCAGAGATCTTGCCAAGAGACCTCTTCTGGAGATCTTGTTCAGAGATCTTGCCAAGGGATCTCTTACAGAGATCTTGCCAACAAAGCTCTTTTAGAGTTCTTGTGCAATCACCCTTGGGTATTGGCGGTGACGCTGGATCCCCATAAAATAGAATTTTGGTTTGTAAAGGCAAGAAAAGTGACATATTATGTGCGCAAATATAAGTATAAATGTAGATAACATTCTGCAATAAGCCAATATGCACCCAATCCATAGTTGCAGGGCTAAAGAATGAAGCAGGTTAGTTGGCGGAACGGAGACCACTCCAACAGAAAAGATTTGCTTCACAGCCATGGCAAGCCAACACGTTACCGTCCGAAGCTGATAGGTCAGAAACTTGAATGACGCAAAGCCGTGCGGTTGGTCAAGTTATCAGGAAATCACCGCTAGACCAGATGGAACCTGGGTCAGCTCTGTACCTCCTAAACGATGAACGCAACCCTTCTTCGAAGTCGAGCTTGGACACATTGACACGTGTTAGCTCTAGAATGGCAACGATTACCTTACCTATAGCAGGAACCAACATGGAACCAACCATCAAAATCAGTGAGTCGTTCATCCACTCGCAGTTTCGCCATGATAATGCTACTGCTGAAACAATTAAGACATTGCATAGCTTGATCTTTGTGGTCTGGGATCCATCTGTTCTATTAAAGCCGGGCCCAAGCCAACCCAAAACATAGAACAATACCCAACGGTGATCTTGTACAGAGATCTTGCCGGAAGATTTCTTATAGAGATCTTGTACAGAGAGCTTGAGCAGAGGTCTTCTATGGAGATCTCTGATAGAGAGATCTCTTCAAGAGTCTGTCCAAGAGGCCTCTTACAGAGATCTTGTACAGAGATCTTGCCAGGACACCTCTTATGGAGATCTTGTACTCTGACATTGCATAGAGATCTGTTGCAGAGATCTTGCCAAGAGTTCGCTTACATAAGTCTTGCCAAGAGAACTCTTCTAGAGTCCTTGCGCAGAGGTCTCAAAAAGAGATCTTCTGCAGAGACATTGCGTAGAGATCTGCCGAGATCTTGCCAAGAGGTCCCTTACAGAGATCTTGCCAAGAGATCTCTTATAGAGATCTTGTCCAGGAGGTCTTGCCAAGAGATCTCTTAGAGAGATCTTGTCCAGGAGGTCTTGCCAAGAGATCTCTTTTGGAGATCTTGTGCAGAGATCCGGTGAAGGGAGCAGAGGTCTTGCTTGGAGATCATTCAAAGATAATCAGCTTGAACAGAGATCTTAGTCTAAGGTTCCTTACAAAGATCTTCTGTGGAGATCTTCTATAGACACCTTGTACAGATAGCCTCACACAGGGATCTTGCACAGCAGCTTCTACAGAGATCCTCTCAAGGAGATCTTGCGCACGATCTTCTACGGAGATCTTCACAAATGGAACTTGCAGAATCTGATCTGGTATCTTTTCTTTTCACTACTAGGGTCGCTCTTGTCCTGCTAGCTTGCAGCCACTGATGCTTTTAGGTCGTTTCCGCATTTCCCTTTAGAATCCTAACTGCACACTGTTTGGAGTCTCTTGCCGGGATAATTTGTGAAGTATGTGAATGGATGATGTGGATGTAGAAGATGTGCAGGGCAAACATCAGGTCTGCTGCCCAAATCTTTCAAAATTACTCAAAATTCGCATTTGCCACAATCATCCACAAACAGCGCGATAAATTGTCAAGGCCCTTCTGCCTGTTTCCTTTGGCAGAGTTGTCTTCAGATATTCCGATCAAAGCGTTGATTTCTAGTCAGACATGCTCATCAAGCATACGCACAACCCTAATTGATGGCAAGCAAGTGCAAAAAGAGCCCTCACAACAATGTGGCCTTACACACAACAAAACACAGCAGTTGCATCGTGATAAGATCAGGTAACGGCACTGCAAGATCTGTCAAACATGACTTAGCCGGGTGCAACTTTTCTGATGTTGGAAACAGGGGCTATTGTGGACAATTCCTTGCTTATGGCTGAGCAAACAATCTAGACACACATTTGCTTAATTCTGATGTGGATACTATTTGCATCTATGATGCATCTGTTATTCATCTGTTCACATCTATTTGCTTGAGACGCCGTAACGCAATCCTGGAGAAATCGGCCAGGGATAAATTTAAACTGAACAAAATCAAAGGTGATCACGGTGATGAGTATCGGTATCCAATATCCACGCAAATATGTGGTGGCCCAAAGAAACAAAGTCATGCCCTCACCTGCGGGCGGTCCGGCTACTAGTCCTCGTGGGAGACCTATTGCAGTAAGCTTTCAGGACGCCGATGCCGGTTGCGCTTCACTGCGCACAGCGATTTTGCAGAAAAAACAATTCTAGACTCCGTTCTTTTCATCAGCATGAAACACGTACAGCAACTGGATTGACCTGCGAATAGCATTTCCTTTAACATTGACGTGTATGTTTCTACGGCAGTATGCTTGTGACAGTTTGCCATTTTCTTTTTTGACTGCTTGCTTTGCAGGCACCAATCTGAATCTGTCTGGCTTGAAATTGTAACAAGCAAAAGTCTTGTTTTGTTTTGCAAAGGCTTCTGAGGAATGATATTGACGTGAGATAAACTGGGAAAGTGGTTGCATCGTGGAACTGAGCTGTGGGTCTTTGGATTTTGGGACTCTACTTCACAACATGTCACAACATGTCACAATTACTTTTTATCTGTCTTGTCTTTCTTATCTTTCATTCAGTTGTCTTCGGGCTTCTTATTTCCTTTTCAGCTTCCCAAACAGAACCATAGGGGAACCAAAGTGTTTGCATCAGAACTGGACCTCTAGCAGTATCAGGAAGCAGTGGCTCCGGCAGCAGCACAGGCCTCTTTCCTGCATTCTGTCGCAGAACTGAAGCTGTGAATGTCCAAATGTGGCAACATTGGATCTTTAAACAGAACTTATGAGAATTCAGTGGACATGTTGGGCAAATTTTAGTGAATTAAATTGCTCTGACCTATGACATAATATGACACAACACATCACAACACGATGAATCATATTGTCGTATTGACTCACGACCAATGCTCCCTCTTCTCCCTGCATCTCCCCGCCTTTACCTGCCGCATCTTTTGTTTTGCCCTTGCCCTTGGATCCCTTGGATCCCTTGGATCCCTTGGATCCCTTGGATCCCTTGGTATCCTTTGTTTTGCCTTTGCCGCCCTTCGTTTTGCTGCCCTTACCACCTTTCTTCAAGGATGAGGCAAGCCCTGCCGGCCAGATGCGCTGCTCGCGCTGCTCGGGCTCAGAGCTGGTGACCTGAACATTTCTCGGAAGAAAACATCAGAAATTTATAGAGATAAAATGAAATTAAAATGAGATAAATCGCAATTTCATAAAGATTTCATAAAGATTTCATAAATCTCCATAGATCTCCCAAGCTTTTGTCGAGGTCTTGTAGAGGTTGCCAGATGAACTTTACAGGTCTTGCAACATGCTCAAGCTGCTCAAAAGCGTCCAAGAAACCATTAGAAATGACATATCTATACATATCCAATTTTGAGACAGAAAATCAAACGTTCAAAATGCGCATCATGCGAGTCAAATGAATCGAATCGAAATGAATTGGACCACAATTTCCCCGCACCTCCGTATGCCAAGGATGAACCACCTACATGGTGTTGAAGTGCAGCATAGTGCAGCTCAATGGCAATGAAAAATAATGTAAACGATGAATATGTAAATTTTAGACTGCAGAGACCTGAAATGTAAAATATGTAGTTTACACATGTTTACACAGTGTATACACAATGCAAATCCGCAACAGACATTGAAAACCACGAGATCCGGTGGCCATGGCCGGCCTGCACGGCCTGCGCGGCCTGAGCGGCCTGCGCGGCCTGCGAATGCCTGGCTGGGAGCTTCTGCACCTGCCAAGGCCAAAACAATCAGAACATAGATAGTCATAGAATAACAATGCCATGTCATGTTTCGTCTTGACCCACCCACCCTCCAAGCGAAGCGCATTAGCTCATTTTAAGACACGGTTGCCGTTCAGAGTCGCAGGGTGACAGCTAAGAAGTGCTATCAGCACAGCTGACACTCACTGCCTAGCATCCCTGCTGGGTGGGGCTCACCAAGTGAGCGACTGGGCGGGAGAGCAGGATGAGACTTGAGCCAAAATGGCATACGGCCATCAGGGCGAGCGGCTCCTGGGGTCTCGTGGAGTTACGCCGCGTTGTTGATGCTTTGCGCCAGAGTCTGGTCGTCGGCATACCGCAGGTGGCGCTCCTGCAGTGCCCCTCGACTCATTTCACTTTGGTTTCTTGCAATTCATGCCCTGGTGAGGACCAAGGCACTGATTGCATTGGTGGGACCGCCCTTTTCCACACATGGACTGGGGCTTGTCCGATTTGCCGCACTTGCCTGAGTTCCAGTTTGCGCACACCTCCATGGCAGGCCCCTTTTGTTGTGTGTCCACACCTTGCCATCATGCTTCGACTTGTCGTCCATCTCCCTCACCTTCTTGCGCTTCTTCCTGGAGGAAGGTTGCTCGGCTGCCTCTGCTTCCGCCAGCAGGCCTGCCTTCTCCGGTGCAAGTGGTTTCGGGATCGACCTGGCCTGAGCAAGTCTCAGCGTGGCTGGTGTGATGACCTCGCGGGACCAGTAGGCATCTTCCTTGATAGCTTGCAACCGCGCTCCAGGGCGCCGCCTCCGAATACCCAAACTGCGGCTGCTCGTGTAGCCTGCGGCGGATCCTTTCAAACTGCTCGGATCTCATATGTACATCCGCTGTGTACACTAGGTCCCAGCAGTTTGGTCCAAAGCGCAGTGACAGCTGGCGGATGTGCTCCGCGTATGCGTCCATCCGTTCTGCGGAGATCGACTCCAGCAGGAGGAATGTCGTTCTCACGCAGCGGAAGATTTGGAACCACGACTCGTAGCCTGGAGGTCCCGGCATCTCCTTCCGTTGCCACTCCCCCTGTGAGTTCAGGGAAATGGGTCCGAACACCGCGAAGTCGATGCATGGGTTAGCCTTCGATTGAACCAGCTGGCGCACTGCCGAGAGCTGATCGCCCGTGGGCTCTGACTCCGGGCTGGGCACGTCGCCGAACTTCGCCTTGTAACCCTTGTACATCTCGTTGATCGCCTCGATGGCTAGTGGTTGGACCTCCGCATCCAGCGTCTGGTCTACCACTGAGCTCATCTTCAGCTTCCGGCTGGGGGATTGACCCGTCACCGGTGCAGGCGGAGCGGCCGCCACGGCCGGCGTGGGTGGTCCCATGTGCCCTGGGGTGTCGGGAGTTGCGCCTACCCGACGGAAGCATACCCTCCTGAAGATCTCCACGCGGGACAAGTCCACCGCGCTCAGATCTCTGTCGGGTACCGTCCCGTCAGGTTCGGCCGTGCCCTTTCCCTTCGTGCGGGCGACCACAGTATCCCACACCTGCCTCGCAACAAATATGATGTCACGAATCTTGGTGGGGTTACCCAGGCCTGCCTTCAGAGCCGTACGAACGTCGTTTGCCACCCCAGCACAATCGAATGCTGAATCCAGAGTGTCAATCTGATTAAGCTCGTCGGCGGATGGTTCCATGGCTGATCGCCGGTCCCTCGTGTAGAGGTCTCACCCGCCCTTCGGCTGGTTCGGCCTCCCTCGGGATCGTCGGCAACTGCCTCAGTTGGTGGTTGCGGTAATTGGCCCAGGCAATGGCGATCCTCCGGCGCTTTCGGATGAACCTGAGCGCCCGTAGGACCACTGAGTGCCAGCCTTTCCCGCGACCCCTCACCGTAGGCTGGGGGCCCGGTCGGAAGAACACCCACGCGCCGCAGCAGCCAATGAGTATCCCGCCCACTAGCACCGCTCCAAGCAGTGCTAGTAGGAAGAAGTCCTCCTCAGCCTCCGCTGGCGTGGATTCCCCCAACTGCGCACCCATGCGATACTGTCCCACCTGCAGTTCTTCGAGAGCAGGATGAGACTTGAGCCAAAATGGCATACGGCCATCAGGCTCTGACCCACCCTCCCAGCCTACTCACTTTAACAGCATTGTTACCACAACATGCAGGCATGTTTTCAACGTCATACAGTAGAATGTCATAGAATGTCATAGATTCATTTGGATTCAGAACCTGAGAAACGATAAGAATGGTTTGTTGATGTCTGTTGAATTCAGTACGCCCCTAGTGACCCTGATATGCCCTGATGAGGTGTCCCTGTAGCAATCCCAATTCTGGTGCTTTCATGTGATTTCTGTTGCGTGTTTGGAGGAATCCAATTGGCAAATTATCTCTGGACATGACAAAAATGCGCAAAAAATGCGCAAAATCTCATCCAACCTTGGGAGCAGTTTGCAAGGACTCTGCAGGTTGCGTTGGCACTGGCATCTGCCGAGCGGTGTCAGGTGCCAGTTGATCCAGAAGATTTCAAAAAGAACAGTTGCTCAAAGAAACATTTGAAATAGAACCCTAGACCTCAGGCCTCAGGCAAGGCACATTTTGATACCTTTTTTGGGTGCTTTACCCTTCCGTTGCACTTAGACCTGAAAAGGATCGAAAAGGTACAGGTGCTATTACTACTACATTTCTGGGCTGTTATGTTTCGTTTCCTCAATGTACAAAAAAAGGGGGGCCATATGACGGCTGTGGCAAAACTTTCATAAACAACTGATTTTCAGTTTCTGTGGCCACACCCTCCAAAACCCCGCCTGAATATGGTAGTCTCCATGCTTTGAACGAATAAACATCTGCACTTGGCTGGGTTGTTCCTGGTTGTCAGTGGGCTCCTTCTTGGTGTGCTCTGACCAGTGCTCGCGCTGGTGCCACGCGCCCCACTTCTGACCAGATCTGTTCCGCTTTCTGGACCTAAGATCATCGATGGGCGCTGGACCGTGGATGATTCACCTTCATGTTTTGCAACGTTGTTCCCATTCCTTGACATCGAGACTTCAGACGTCACATCTTGTGCAAATACGCCAGCACAAAATTCATACTAAGCAAATCTAAGCACGGTAAAAATACTGTATAGCTTGGCTAGCTTGTCTGCGGTGAATCTATCTTCCAATGTACCTTCAAGATTCCTACTGCAGAATCCGACACTAATAACATGAAGATACATGAAGATAAGTTGCGACTCGTAGTTGACACTATCCCAGCCGTGGTTGTCTCTGTCAGTCTCGGCCTGTTACAGTAGCCGGAACAAAGAATCAATGCATTTCAACACAAACAACAAAATCAGAACTATCAACTTGCTTTGACTTACTTGATCATTCGGTCGTCAGTAGTCTCTTCGTTGGAAAAGGATGGAAAATGCACCTGTTCGACATCTTCTTCCTGTGCTTCGTAGGAATCCTGATCCTCTCAAGGATGAGATCGTGAAACGAGAACTGCCAATATTGCTCGAGTATTTCTTGACGCATTATGATGTCTTTAATGTACGTGTCCAAGAGAAAACAAGTGAAACAAGGAATAGGTCCGCAGTCTGAGCGGTGTTCATCATCCACACTTGTACATCTTGAGTCTAGTCATGTCTAGTCATGTCTAGTCCGCTCGTGTACTAGAAAAGCAAAGATAGTGCTAAGATAAAGGAGTGTGGAAGAGGCCGCCCAAGGGAGTGGAGAGGCAGTGACACGGGGGCGAAGGGAGGACGAGTGAATACGAGTGAATACGAGTGAATACGAGTGAATACCAGTGACATGCGAATGCCGAATTCGTGCTGATCCCTTGGGTAAGAGCATGTGCAACATGAGCAGTCATGGCAGTCATGAGCCTTTCACTTGGAGCATTGATCACCGAAGATGCTGTGTGACACGTGTGAGTCACTTCTTAGACACTTCCTTTGAGTCTGACATAGTCTGACAGTCTGCAGGTCAAAAACATTTAAATGTGGCTGAGATACCACTGATGCCACTACTCTCAATTTACATGGCTTTCATCACACGAATCCATGGATATCAAATCGCTCAAATGGATTCAACGGTCAACTAATCTTGTGTCGGGAGACGCTGGAAGGATGTCTGCAATTCCTGTGCATACACTAGTCACATCTAGTCACATCTAGTCACATCTAGTCACTATATGTAGAACACACACACAGCTCGGGCAGGGACAACGACTGCCCACACACCACAAAGGACAGAACGAAAACGCATAGACCGCACAAGAATCGACAGAAGGAACAAATAGTCAACTTTAAATTGACTTTAAATACAATGTGGAAGAAACATGTGGAAAAGGGATGAAAAGGGATGAAAAGGGCCACTCTTGTGGACAGCCAAAACTACTCACACGAAACTGAACACGAACTCTGTGTGCAAGACTTTGCCTTGTCAGTGTGCTCCTTGTGCCAGCGCTGGCGCTTCTGGTGCCACCAGCCCCACGTCTGACCAGCTCTATTCCGCTTTCGCTTTCTGGACCTAAGATCATCGATGGGCGCTGGACCGTGGATGATTCACCTTCATGTTTTGCAACGTTGTTCCCATTCCTTTACATCGAGACTTCAGACGTCACATCTTGTGCAAATACGCCAGCACAAAATTCATACTAAGCAAATCTAAGCACGGTAAAAATACTGTATAGCTTGGCTAGCTTGTCTGCGGTGAATCTACCTTCCAATGTACCTTCAAGATTCCTACTGCAGAATCCGACACTAATAACATGAAGATACATGAAGATAAGTTGCGACTCGTAGTTGACACTATCCCAGCCGTGGTTGTCTCTGTCAGTCTCGGCCTGTTACAGTAGCCGGAACAAAGAATCAATGCATTTCAACACAAACAACAAAATCAGAACTATCAACTTGCTTTGACTTACTTGATCATTCGGTCGTCAGTAGTCTCTTCGTTGGAAAAGGATGGAAAATGCACCTGTTCGACATCTTCTTCCTGTGCTTCGTAGGAATCCTGATCCTCTCAAGGATGAGATCGTGAAACGAGAACTGCCACAGATGAGGCACTGTACGCATATGAATACAACAATATACAACATAAATAATCATAAATATTGCTGAAGTATTTCTTGATGCATTATGATGTCTTTAATGTACGTGTCCAAGAGAAAATAAGTGAAACAAGGAATAGGTCCGCAGTCTGCAGAGCTAAAATATGTAGACCAAACATCCCCAACCAAATTGTCCGATGTGGTCTGCTGTCAAGACATGTCGGTTTCCCATGCTTTCCTGTCCTGCCTTAGGATCTCTTAGGATCTCTTAGGATGTCTTAAGTCAAGTCTAACCCACAGTGTGGTTCCGACCTCGATCTCCTCAGCGACTTCCTCGAACTCATCAGGATCATCCTGCAATGATCTGCAGTCTGCAAGGACTGCACTGGGTCCATCGATGCTTTATGATGCTTTCTTGGCAGGATCACTTTCAATACCGCTAAAATATCAATGACACAACAATCGAACTGCATGATGAATTTAGTGCTGTCACTCGCTCTGACAAAGCACTTCAAAAACTGTGAAGAAAACTCGCAACTAGTGAGGTGACAGAAAGCTGAACAATTAAATCACATTGTCGCAAAATGTCGCGAACATGCCCATTGTGACACATGTGACACAAGGTTCGGCATTTTTAGACTGCATCATTTACAGCATCCTATTGTGGCAAGCCTGTGCATCCTCGTGGGTGTCGTCATGGTCTTGGTTCTCATTCTCATTCTGCATGTCAAACGTGACGTCCGTGCCATCACCAGCCTGCATGGAGAAATGAGGAGAAACCACCGGTTGAACAGTTGAACGATGAGTTGCACTGAGTTGCACAATTTGAACATTCTGGGAGTATGTGGGAGTATGGCATTGAGTATGGCTTCAACACGACCTGCAGAGCTCACAGAACTCTCAGTAACCTCTTGGGATCGAAATCTAGCCTCCGACACAATCACCTTAATTTAATGCCCTGTAAATGTCATAAATATTAATATGTATAGATATATATATGATATATGTATATGTATACTCATATACTGTTCACATCTATATTTCAAGTTGTTTTTTCTGTGTCTTCCGGTTCGCCTCTTGCTCGTCTTGCTCGTATGTGTCGTCCACATCGCCTTCTTGGTAGCTTTCTTCACTGTAGACTCCATGGTTACCGAGCACACCTTCATCGTCCCATTCTGCTGGGAACTCCACTGAGACCATGGCTCCAGTTTTTTGGAATGAACAGAAAAAGCTGAAAAAACGAAAATATTGGAAGAATATATATATATATAATATATAAGATAATATAAAATGATATAGAATGTGAACGAGTCCACGGTGCATCTTCCACAAGACTTCAGAGGAATTGCAACAGGGTTTGACTTCTTCAGACTGGGTGATCTCCATATCTCATGTGGTCTGTCAGACATCTGAACGCCTTGTTTGTCAGGTGTTTGCTACAATGATTTGAGCAAATTTGGGCTTTCTTGTCTATGAGCAAGAAAAAAACTGCGCAAACAAACTTTAGCAAGCATTCAGCTGACAATGTTTTGATTTCGACATGGGTTTATCCAGCCACCAAACACACCTGCGCATTTCCCCACTTTTTCTTTTGGGAGCAAACTTTGGTCCTTGAAGGTATCCAACTAAAAAGTGTATATGTGTTCAACGCAGTATTGGCCAATAGCAGGAGATCAGAGGTTGTTCCCTTACACACTATCTCAGATTTTCTGCATGGCAAGATGGCGTGCGACCCTACTTTGGTTCATGGAGTTGTACGCCATCGTTGCAGCGCGGATCAAGTCTGTAAGAGCTGTTGAAGACAGGAATTCGACATCCAAAAACGACAGCTTTCCACATTTCGCACATTTCGCACATTCTTCGCTAGGTTTCAGCGAGGTTCAGCGGATCCATCGATCCATGGACAGTGTTTGCCCAGCCACTGAGCCTTAATGAGACACAGCACGTTCCACATCGTTCCACTAGTAGTTTCATGATGTTTCACGACCATTCACCTGTCTAGAAGATATTATTTCAACATCTTGTAACATGTTTCACCAAACCAAAAGGACACTGCTATTGAGCAGTGTGAGCTGATCAGATTTTCCGCTCTGCCAGGAAACTGACATCAGCAGGAAGCGTCCATTGAACGATGGAACGCTGGAGCTTTCTATGATTTTCTATGTCTGTTTTATGTTTTTTTTTTAAGGCTAAACTGCAGTCATCGACTTCAGGGTCGACGTTGTGCTGAAAGGGCGGATTGCCTGCAAGAGACAGGCCAAAGAAGTAATCAAGACACATTGCAAACAGATTGAGACGCACTAAAACATACTAAAACCATCTAAATCATTCTAAAACCATAGTTGATTTTTCATGATTTGTCATGATTTATCCACTTTCTATGTCTATAATTCATTCTATAATCCAATTGTCAGCGCAGATCAGAGCAAACCTGACATGATACATCAACTCAGTAAATCCATGGTAAACGCCTTGGACAAACAGAACATAACAGAACAAACCGACTTGGCGACTCGTGGAACGCAAATAGCATAGATTTGATCCTGATAGGAGCTTTCACCATGTTTCACCATGTTCATGCCGTTCTCGCGTCTGGATTCCTGCCATCCATATCCTTCACGTTCTATCAGGTTGACGGGTCGACAATTTTCTCCATTTTCTTCTACATTATTCATCAAGTTTCTACATTCTTCAATTTGTTCAATCATTCTTTCACTATTCTTCCACCAATCTTCCTATCACTGAGTTCCCAGACGTCATCGGCTCAAATGGTGTCGCCCGAGGCTCCGTTCGAGCCACGGGCTCATGCACCTGCCGGAACTGCCCTGGAACTGCCCTAGACCTGCCCTTTCTGAAGGACCGGGACCACCGAGACCACCGGGACCAGCGGGATCACTGTCATAGTTATTATAATATAGATATACCAGTATGATATATATATATATATAATATATATATATATATATCTATTATATATAATATGTGTATATATATATATGTATATGTAGATATCATAGGTATTCATAGGTTATCATCATAATCACCAACTCTTATCATGTGTCATGACACCGTGAACTTTTTGGTTCCAAAGTTCGGGAGACCAAAATCTCAAATTTGAAGGGATTCATGCCAATGTGAAGTATTAAGTATTGCATTGGCAGGCTATGTTTTCCAGCTCTGTGTCGGACCGTGTACAAGACCGCTGTTGACTGTTGAGGAGTTTGCTGAGAAGGTACACAGCAGCTGTTCTCCCGTCTGTGCATGCTTTTGAGTGGTGCTTCATATCACTACATGATCCACATGTCAAGAAAGTTCAAGAATCCCAACATACTCCAATTAAGAAGCAAACATCTGAACTGACTTTGCCTTCTTCTACTCTGTTAGATATGCAGTGTCCAAGCCAGTGAGCTTGGGAGCCAAAGATATCCCTGCTTTATGATAAAAGAGAATGCATGAGAAACACCTTGGCCCAGCATTTTGCTTTACAATATAGAAAAATCGAGAGTTTGAGAAGAACTCTGCTCTCGTGGTTGTGAACAGTTGTGAATATGTTGCGGAACATGTGCTCTCCTGTGTCAGAACGGCGCCTGAGTAACAGGCTCAAAAGGGGGCCGTTGCTCCATTCGAGTCACTGGCTCTTGCACCGCTTGCACCGCTTGCACCTGTGCCACTTTTCTGCAGATTCAACATGATTCAGCATGATTTCACTATATCAACCAGTGCAGGAACCGAAGCTGAACCTGCAGATGAAGCGGCCTTTACAGAACCACACGACTCTTTCAGGATGAATATGGACTCTTTTAAAAAAAAATCACATGAACAAAGACCCTTTCTTCAAAACACCAGCAAAATTATGTTCATCTTGTGACTGTGCTGACAGTTTGAACAGACTCGTTACAACTAAGATCAAATAAGTATGAGTCACATAAGGTAAAAGACAGTTATCCTCCTTTTTCTTTCAAACATGTATAATATATTTACAATCACTGTATATACATACATTGCACATAATTATATATACATTATACACCAAGAACAAGTTGTCTGCTTCGGAGACGGCCTGTGGCTCAACTGGACGCTCTGGTGGCCTGGAATGGGAGAATGACGTTTCAGCGTGCACGATTGCAGTGCATTGCAGTGCATATGTAGGAATGAAATGGAATGAAATGGAATGAACCTGTCCATCCTGTCCTTTGAAAATTTCAATGCTTGTCCAGCCTAATTTTCTCCCTTCCGTTCAGCATTTTGAAATGACGAATCACTGCGCTTCTGTTTCTGTCCAACAAAAGAACAGATGGTTTATGAATGGTTTATGAATGGTTTATGATAGTTGCTAAGAAACATGTCCTAAGACATGAAGACACAAAACCAGACGGCCCTGAGGATATGGGGGACATCGACAGCACCCCCTAGCATCGCCCAGCCTTCCAGTTGCCACTCTTCCTCTCAGCTCGTCATGGCGGCTGCCCACCTCTCACTCGCTTCAGCAACTTCGATCAACTTACTGTACCATCAAATACCATCAGTATTCAGAAGGCATAAGAAGGCACTTGATACTTAGGTGTGCTGGATTTGTATCCGGTATGTAGACACACATATGCTGCAATGATGTGCATTTGCACGTACAGCATGGAAACCGTTGGAAAACCGCACATCCGGAAGATCCAGCAAAAGCAAACCTGCAAAAGTGTGATAGTGTCATTATGGAAAGTGACAAGTGTCCTGCACTGCTGAGATTCCTGGGGTTTCTGTCTGCTCTCTGCTTATGTCTGCATGACATTCTTATCTTACCATCAAATCATCAAAAATCATCCAAAACTATCAAATACTCTGCTTATATTTATATGCTGTTGTTTACATCAAACCTCTGCATATCTTACGTCCATGTCTAGGCTGCCCTGCCTGGCCGATCACCGACTGGGTGTCTCTTAGCTTGCGACGTAAGAAGTCAAGGTCCTAGTTCCAAAAAAAATTCCCAAAGTTTCCCAAAGTCAAAGCAACTCAGCTTTGCTCAGCTTTACACTTTCCACATCTTTCCACTTATCCAATTGGTTCACTGTTCATGTTCAGTTCACATTAGCTTTCATTGTTTTTCCTGTTTTTTCATTGTTCTAGTTCTTTTTTACATTTGTACATTTTGCCTATGCTGTATACTTCTGGATAATGTTGTTCTACTTTGCTCAAGGCAACAAAATGGCTGCCTCTGCAGTGGTCTCATTCTCCCGTTGCCGTTGTTCCAGGAGGTTTTGCCTCAGTCAACTAACCCAGTTCAGTGGGTAAAGTGGCTAAATGCCCCAGTCAATCTGTGGTTTTTTTCTGTGGTAAATCTGTGGTAACCAGAACCTTGGGTCGCAAACAATAGATTGTTCACAGCAGACGCCGAGACCTCAGCCAAGCCATGTAAGCCATGCCAACAACAAACACAACTAGAATAGACTATATATATATTATATACATATATCAATTTACTACTATACATTAGATATAACTGATATAATATGGACAATTTATGAGAATTTCATGTCGACTACAGGGCTTCTGCAATTCAAAGTCATTGAGTTGATGCTTCTCAGATCTAGCCATGATTGCCATATATTGCCATGATTGAGTCATCAAGCTCCAGCGTACTCACTGCTACCCTCCGAAACAACGACAATTCCTGACGATGTCGCCAAGATTTCGCTACTGCAGGCGACTGAGCATCGAACACCAGACGAATGATCGCAAACCTTGCGTTTGTGCAGGCACTCAATACATCTCAATACTGTACCCTATTTTGTGGAAAACCAACGGTGTGTACAGCCCACTTTGACAGCATGTTTGTATGCGAGGAACAGTTTAAAGGTCTGGTTGAAATTGGTACGGACTTGACAACAACGCTGTTTTCCAGATTGGCGGACACTGTATATAAGTTCGTAAAAGTATTGAATCTTATGCTGACTCTTGCCATGCTGCCGACAGATTTTCTCCAAGCAATTGTAAACCCCACAGAGAGAGAGAGAGAGAGACCCAATAAGCAAACAAAATGATATTCATAAAATTTCATTAGCCTCGCTCATGTTTGCCACCAGTTCCTCTTCTTGCAGCAAATAAGAAGGTACCTCATTTCTGTGTAGCCAACTTATGAAGCTTCAAAAAGTCATCCTGTTTTTGGATTTTTCCCCTTTTTTTTTGGATTGCTAGACATCCAGCTATCGGTGCGTGGCGGACCCCAGCAGCAACAGTCCAGGATGAGCCCGACCAAGAAAAAACCATCCAACATATCCAATTCGCTGCATGAATTGTGAATCAAAAAAGAACATACAAGTACGAACTGAAATATGTACATATATATATATACATAAATTCATAAATATAGGTATACAGTAAAAATCAACAAATGCAAATATATTTTTTCAAGTCAAATTTAGACAAGAAAATGTAAATTGAAAATTCTCCTTGATCTGTCAAATTCTGTCACTGCTTTCCTACATGGTTCGCGTAGCCCGCCTCCCGAAAGGATGTTAACAGCAAGGAGAAGTGGCCTCGCAATTCCTGCACCGTGACGCGCGGTGATACACAATTCCATGCAATTCCAAGGCGGTAAACAAAGGTGATCCTACGAGATACAGAAAGACTCATTGATGTGATAGTCAGAGCTCTACAAAATGTAAATCTGACAGTACCTGACAGTGTACTGGTCTTTACAATTTCAGGCACAAACCCAAGCTGTAGGCACAAACTCTTATACCCACACAGAGCTTCAAAGTGAAACAATCTTGGCGCGTACTTGCTTATTACATGTCCTACCAGTCCTATCACTGCAAGTATTATAAGATATAATTAAGATATTCTAAGATATTATATAAGCTGGATGTGGGTTTGTGTCTATTTCTATACACCGGCAGCAAGCTCTAAGGATCTCCAAGGGTTATATAAATTATCCCATCGCGGAATGTCGTCTCTGGAAACTGAGATTTGATATTCGAAAAATTCGACGCTCGACATATCTCGTCATGTAGTCAAACAGTTGAGCACCATAAAGGCAGGCCCAAAGCATTTCAAAGCGTGCCTCCAGTGCTGTGGCAAAGTCGCTTTTGGTCATGTTCTCATTCTGTCGCCTTGGGGATTTCTCTGCACGTGGAGATTGCACACATGACGTGGCATGGTGAAATGGTCCAATCGAATCCACTTGAATCTATGGAAGCGATCTCTTCCCTGAACTATCTTGATGGATTATTAATCTTTGGCAGAAACAAATGCAGCAAAAACAAGCTCCGCCAGGCTAGACATACTTTGTTGATGCCCTGCTTCTAGGAATGCAACATCCTGGTCACCTGAAATCTTCCTTTTTTGGTTCCTTTGTTGAATAATAAACCAATACTGGCCTCTCATTGAGATCATAATTTTACATATCACATCCTTTTCATTCCTTTTCCATCTTTTCCCTAATTTGGTTGTTTTTTGGTGTTTTTTGGGTGATCAGCAGTGTAGACTCGCCATGACCTGCACTCCGTGCTCCAGAATTTTTTGCCAAGGTGTCGGCTTCAGGGAGCTGGACACTTCCACCTACGCAGTGAAGGTCGAGGTCGTATGGTTTCCATAGCTTTCGGCATTGACTTACATACCTTATGCGCAAATATGTATCGCATTGTATCGCAATTTATATATAATTAATATCTAAACATATCTAAACATCAATCAATTTAATCTTACAGTGTATATTCTTCTTAACAACTATATACATTCTTCTGTACATGGATCTATAATGATCTATATGGTATCATATGGTCCCGTACCTTATGTTGCACTGTAAAAAATCTCAACGTGAGCGGTGCGAAGACAGCCTATGTATATATCTCTATATTATATATATATGTATATATTATGTATTACATATTGTATATTGAATGGATATGAAGGGAGCGGCCTTCGAGCGAATGTCTTTGATCTCGCTCATCAAAGGCGCAAGGTCCACCTTCGATGCCCAGCCCCGGTTTCGCAAAGCTGCAATTTCTGGTCGTCAAAGGCTTCCACGGCCTAAAGTGCTTTCAATATCTTCCAATGCTTCCAAGCCCAACATTCTGACCACTACATAGTCACTACATCGCATTAGTCAGTGTGGCAGGGATTGTGCGTTGTGTTGGGGCTTCTGTGTTTGGGCTTCTGAAGCTCCGATACAGGAAGCAACCTCCAAAATCTTAGCATACGCGGAAAAAAAAAGATGTACAGTTGGTGGCCAAACCAAAAGTTGGCAAACAAACTACCGTGAACCAAACAAAGCACAAAATGAAGCGCTTCTTAGATGCTGAGCGGTGTTCACGCGCTCTGATCCCCTGCACTGTCAAATCGCTCGCATGCGAACCTTCATCACCTCGTGTCGAATGGAATCCACCAAATTTGTCGTCACCTGAAAGATGCGAATCCGTCTTGTGATGTTCTTTGGCTATGCTACAACATGATACAACATGATACAAGTTGATACAAGTACAACCACGCAATAGGCTGTTACATGTTGTCAACAAATCTGACCAAATCTTCAAAGACCTCTTAAAGACTCTTACACTGGACACGGGACAGACTCCACATCTCAAACATGAATCGGTGTGTCAGTAATACCAATCGTCCCATGACGTGGAATGATCCACTTTGTTGAGCCGTGGACATCCGACGATTGGTAGATATTGGATGATATTGGTAGAGATATTGGTGTTCTCCATGCTGAATTCACGGTTTTGGTTTCCTCATGTCTCATGAAACTCGGCATCTCGAGCTCCAGAGCTCCAGGCCAAGCGCAGGTCTTGAACAACTCCCTGGAGCTCTTCTGCCCGGACCTTGTCCTGACTAAAAATGACCATATTCGTAAGAGAGGTTCAATCATTTTAATATAGTTTAATCTTTGCTTAGAAGATAAATTTTGGCGAATGGCTAAAACATGCTGAAACCGTTCTGAATTCCTCTATATATGTTACAATTTCTTGCACTGAAGAACCTTTCTGCCTGGCTGACTGACGAGCTTTGACTGTCTACCCAACTGGCCGATTTCTTGACAGAACGTCATGACATGTAATACATGCAAGAGACTGGAAGATGCATAAAGATGCATAAAGTCAAATACCTCCAACACTTCACACGACTTCCATACGTTTGCATTAAAGTCCGGCAGAGTTCGTCAACACGTCTTGGCAAAACGGCGAGATCCCAAGAGCCTGCAGCCCATCTTGCTGCCTGGGAGCAGAGGCAGCCAACACTTCGTCATGTTGGATTTCACTTCACAATCTTCACAGCGACATTCCGGATTTCGACATGTTTTAACATATTTTAACCATGTACAGAGACCGAACCACTCGATGCTATCTTGGATTCGGGATTCAGATGTATTCAGATGGGAATCTCGCTCAATTGAATGCTAGGCAGAAACGCTTCACACCATGGATCGATGTGACAATGTGACAACGTGCATCAAAATGTACACCTCAACAGAATTTGACCCCGTGCAAGTTGAGCACATCACCCGTGGAGCATCTCTTTCACACCCTTCACTTCCTGCATGACCTTGTGGGAAATATGGAGTCTGGATGAGTCTGGATGAGTCTGGATGAGTCTGGACATCAACATTGATCAAAAATCGAAACTTCGCAATGGCAAGAAATCATCCCACCTATGGGGAATTCATGGGAATACACACAGAAACGATCGTAGGTTTTTTTTAAATGATTTTTTTTGATGTTTTTTTGAGACTCGCAAGAGCCATGCGACGGTCAGGTTGCAAGACTATGCTTTGAACATCAAGCTAGACCGTTAGCAACAAAGAGAGGGCTTACATGAGAAGTGTAGTTAGATGTCTTGGTTTGTAGTAAATGCTTTTGAACCAATCAGGAGAAGTCTCGCTGCCTCTACATGAAGCGGCTCTTGTCGCTCCTGAAAAGTTGCGCTTTTCTCGGTAGAAATGTGTGAAATATGCCATGCATTGCCATGCTATGCCAGACTGAAAAAATCTGCACTGTTGAACACCTCGAACCATCGGAATCCTGATCCAAGCAAACTAACAGTAACTGACACTGGACTTTGTCCAAAGCTCCGCGGTCGACTCTATCTGAAAGGCTCTGGTCCTTGATGGCTTGGAGGGGCGACAAATCCACTTCCTTTGGCTCCCACATGACAAAGGTCTTAACCTAACCCAGAGGAAGAGGGGGCCACGAAAGGTTCGAAAGGTTGAACCACAAGGTACACAAAATATGGCCGAAAGATGCCGAAAGCAAGGCAAAACAGCCAGCAACTTCTCGAATACATCAAACATGTTTAGGCGCGGAAACTTGCAGACCACTGGGCCCACAGCGGTTGCCAATTCTTCTTGTAGCTGACAGAACTCCCTCACCCTGCATCGACATGCATCGACATGTATCGACATCAATATCTGTGCATGTTGCGCTCATGTTCATGAACATGAGCGCAACATGCGCAGAGAGTGTTGGCATTTGTTGTCTTTGTTGATGCCTTGGGATTTGCATCAGAGCCCTATGACTGCAAAGATCTGCAGAGTGGCCATGCAGCACCTAGTCTGTCTGAAGTCGCTGAAATTGCTATGGAGCCTTTGCACCTGCGGTGAAGACAGTTTTCTGACAGTCAATGGCTGGCACCATGGGAACATTGCAATAAACGTGAAGCCGTGAATGCGTATAGATCACTGGAGAACTAAGAACCCACTGCCATAACCATCATGTAATGTTTAACTGTGCTACGAGTATGTCATGGTATCAGGTCATGGATGTCATGGCTATGCCAGCTATGCAGTGCCAAATATGCAAGACGTCGCAGCATGTCGTAGCATGTCGTAGCGCCTCCTCCGTCAGCGGCACCAAATCTTCGCAGTTGACCCGGTTCTCACGCACTGCCTGACGCAGTGCACGAAGCGCCGGCTCCACCTGGCCAATGCGCTGCGATTTCTCGAATTGCACAAATTCATTGATTAATCATACGCATTCATAGAACATTCAGAAACCAAATGAATCCAAGTTTGAATCATTCACTGGATGACTTGATGTAACCAACGTTGCTAAAATCATACTATCTGATATACACATCAACACCCGCACACACACACATCTTTACTTCTTGATTGATACTCTATCATAAACATCTGTAACCTTACCTCAGCATACCTAAGCAACATGCTTGGGACACAGCGTTTTCGCTGGCCGTGCTATGTTGATATGGTGTTGTGCATTGTTGTGCTATGGTGTTGTGCGGTGTGCTATGCTGCGCCTGCTCCAGGTTTTGCGTGACATGTGTAAAGTCACAGTCGCGACGCAATCGGTGCATCTCCTCGACATGTGGGGGCTCCACTATTCTTAGCCTATACAACCATTCAAATGGCATCAAATGACACACCTCAACCTGAATACAAATTCCCAGTCATTTCCACTGTGTCATGGCCTTTCAAAGTCAAATCAGAGCTAGATTTCTAGGACCTCTGAAAAACCATTCGGCCCATCACTCCTCCACAAGCTTCTCTCCAAATTCCTAGCCACAGTGAATGACATCTAGAAGAATTCACAAAGAGATTTGCGAAGCCCATACAACGACATGAAACGTCATGCAAGGACATGCAAGGACTGCTTGGTGTGTTGATTTTACCTGTAAGAGCTTGGAACATACTACCTGTTTGTTGCACGATGATGGGCCCTCGGGGCCTATTTACGTATCACTCCATCCTTCTCATGTAGTTTTTGGATTAGTAATTTGAACATACGTCGTAGTTATTGAGATATTTGATATTTCATATATTTCATACCAAAAGGATCCAACACTTTGGCTGTCACGACATGCTGAAAAGTGCAGAAAATCTGCGGGAGCCTCATCAACACGCTTTCGGTCCTCAAAAGATATCGGTGCAGAACGGGTGAGTATTCGAAGCCAGTGGAGTTTACGAAAGTCTTTCATTAATGAAATGCAAAAGAAGACACGCTTAGAACATCCTCCGATATGATGCGCATCATATTTGCTGAACTCTCAGGACTGGCCAAAATGCAGAGAACAGATGAGAACAGTGCTCATTCAATGTACTGTAACTCAGTAGTGAAATTTGACAGAATCAATCAAAACATATTATACACATATGATCAAAATAATCAGATCTTTGACGATTTTTGAGGCTCACACTTGCAATGCACGCATGATGGGTGTGAAGTCCACCTCTCGTCCCAAAGGAAACTTGAACACAACTTGTTCACTCTCTTGGACTTGTAAAATCCAGCTTCAAAAAGGAACATAACGAAACATGATGGTGAGTCCCCTATGGTGAGTGATAATGATATGCAAACAACATTAAACAAATATTCAACATATCAAATATCAAACAACGTCTGTCATTCTGATCTTTTGATCTCTTGGCCTCAAGATTCCGGACAGTCTTGGGCACTTCGGCGCGTGTCTCGCGCAACTCCTCCAGGACCTGAGTAGAAAACGGACGAAAACGACGAAAATCGACGCGCACGAAACGCACATGTTGCGAAGCAAACACATTTGCCGCATGACAAGATATGACAAAAAATTGACAAAAAATTGACAAGGTATGAAAACGATTGGACAAATATGGACAAATTGTTCTGCCAAAAAGAACAAAAGTCATAGAGCAGGAGGCAATTTCTCAGGCAAACCCTGAGGGGGCAATCTGTATGGCACATCAGGACTGAAACATCCTGAAACTGAGGCCACTGACACGTTGCACATCACTGTGCAGTGGGCTGAAGTCCACCTGTCACGATCTGACTTTGACATCCGCCGTATACACACCAGCTGTACACACCATCGCCTGCGGGCTAATCTGTTCTCGCAAACACAGGCTCAAAGGAGTGATTCTCACGGGGCCTACAGCTACATTAGACCTGCTTGACATAAGGCACCTATTGACCTATATAATTGTTGTGACAGGTTGTTTCTGACTGGTCTTCATCATGATTTCGCCCAACTTTTGAGTTTATTTCCATGGTCTCCAAAATGCATGTTAGTCTTAGTATGTCGTAGTCAACTTTTGACGCTTTCTTCCGGGAACCAGATGAGGCCTTGTTGATGGCTGCCTTCGTCTGTGTCATCAACTCCCATGCCTAGCCACAGCACAAAGAGGACTGAGACGCAAACATGGACAAAAAAAGGCAGAGGCGAAAACTGCAAAGGATGGTGGCGTGATGTGGCATTGTGTCTGGCATATTCTGGCATTGTGTGACTTTGTGATCGCGGTACCATGGCTCCTGAATTCCGTGCAGTGCACTGGAATGAAATTTCACGTGAGAGCAATCAAAGAATTAGCATAGTCCAGCAAAGCCACGAATCAAACGAGGTCTCTTGTAGTACTTCCAACTCTAAATGCGGATTCTCTCTTGGAGTGCAAAGGCTACCATGGAATGGACGAGCAAAACAGAGCTGCCACTGGTTCATACAATTCATACAGAGAGCAAAGTGCGACTTTCTCATTACGACGTGAGGTACTTTGTCAAAATTTGTGGGTCCAACTTTCATCAACTTCCATCAACTTCCGTCAACTTCCGTCAACTTCTGTCAACTTCCCACTTTTCAGGTCCAATTGTCTAATTGTGTCCAACCGTGTCCAACCGTGCCCAACCGTGTCCAACTCACAGCCAGGGCGACATTTTGCATCGTCTGCGACAAAGCTGTGACGTCGGCGCGCTTGACCACCATCTCACGGCCTGGTCACGATGTTCACACCATGTTCACTCGATGTTCACTCGAAATTCACTGCCACTGCGACCAGTGCGATGTTTGTTTTGGTTGATTTGGATTGGTTACGTCACACTGTGATTCTACTGCAACAATCTGTAGCAAGTGATCTCCCACTTAAAAGATCTTCAAAGCTGAGATTTGGAGTTCCATGCTTTGCAAATGACTTGGAGTTAACACATTCTCTCGGCCCATGCAAGGTGCAAAGCCTTTGAGGATGAAGCGTTGTGCAAATGTCGCGTCGTGTCCCGTTGGTCAGCTGTTATACGTTATACCATTCTACGTCCTCTTTTCTGTTTCGCCATTTCCTTGCAGAATTTCAAGGTTTTGATTATGATCAGCGAACTCAGCCAGGCTTGGCCTTCTTAGATGTGCTGACGTCTGACGTCTACCTGGAGTCTACCTGAGAATCTGAGATACCGGACTCATTTCGACCTCCTGAGAGACTGAGGCGAGTCCTTTCCTGCCAAGACATGGCCAGACTGATCTTCCTGATTTTCATGCGGTAGGGACCGTAGGGACCGTAGGGAGGGACAAAATGGGACAAAGATGGACAAAGAGTTTCATGGCTGTGAGAAGAACTCTTGATCCTTGATTCATCCAGCTTCTCAAAGGACTATCAAGAAGATTTCAAAAATCTATCCGTTCAAAACAGAAGTGCTACTGTATCAAGATCAATCAAGCATTTTGCAATTGAAACATGTGCGGCGATGGATCTTGCCTCACTTGCTCCAAACTTGCCAGTGCTGATGACCTGTCAAGCATCAAACACGGTAAGTGGGGCTGGCAAAACCATGAGACACTGGGGCTCACTGGGGTACCAAGTAGATCCAAGTAGAGAGACAACTGGAGCAGTATCGAGCAGATCCGAGTCCGAGCAGTTTCTTGTGGATTTTTCAACTAAAATATCTTGACTATTCTTGACTCAAACCAGGTAGGAAAGCGATTCCCTTTCGAGCACTGGTCCGATTCTCTTGCAAACAACTTGATTTGCTTTGATCGTGCCAATCATGCTGCATGAACGAATGCATCAAGGCATAGATCTTCACAACCCCAAATTTCCTCAAAGTTTGTGACAGGACGATGCTTGTCAAAAGTTCATGCTCTTCTCCAGCCAAACTCTGTGCATCTGGTGTCATGGGAAGTACAGGAGCTTTTCTTTCACCTTGAAACACGCGTTTGCTGGGTCTAAGACTGTTCGGTCTGATGCCGCAATTGCAACTCCCGCCTTGCTCAATCTGGTCAGGACATATCTGGTGATTTTAAATTCTACAGTGAACATCGATGGATATCAAAGGACAATATTCATTTTGTCTCGTGGAAATGTCATATCTTTCATTATCTTTCTAACACTCAAGGTGCGTGCATGCTTCCAGCTGCATATTGTGACACAACTCACATTGAACCGGAAACTTCAATTCTTTTGCCAATTAATTAACAAAGCACAAACTACTTACATTCCTATCATTCCTATCATTCCTATCATTCCTATCATTCCTATCATTCCTAAGTCAGAGTCAGAATACGGTAAGAATAGTCAGAAGATGTCAGAAGAGTTCGAGCACTCGCGAGTTGCGTGGGCTGAGGAGGTCACAAAGCTGCTTGGTCGTCGTGAAGCTTTTGCAAAGCGCTCATGACACCTGACCTAACAAAACGTGACAGGTGAGCTGCTCCGTAGACGCCACACACTGTTGGCACGGAATGTAGCATGAAGAAGTATGAAATGTGAAATAACATGAATCAATTCGTTCTTGATTGTACATGCTGATATGATGCATAACTCATTCTGGGGGATGCCAACAAAGGGATCCTTGCCTCAAGATATCCCAAACAAGGCGAACCGCACAGAACTTTAGATGCGGGGATGAAATCTTGCACAGGGCTGTAGGAACCACACACTCATAAAATAGTGAGCAATGCTTAAGGACCTGAAACAAGGAATCATACTTTCAAGATCTTTCAAGGGGAAACTATCTCAAAGAAACGACAACGGCAGGGCGTTTCAGGCAAAAGCATGCAAAAGCCTGAATAGTACATGACCACACAAGGCTTCCACACTGCTTAGACTCATGTCACAGCACATCCCAAGAAACTGACTTGGAATACACAAAGAATGCCCATGTTCAGATCTGATGCTGAAAGATAATGTGCGTTAAAGTTCCGGAAGACTTGCTTAGCATTTCTCCATCCGGGCTCCCAAGCAAATCTGTAGCACTCTTCAGCCTTATCAAAACTTGGACAGGGATCATGGCAAGCTGCACGGCTGCAAGGACTGGACTTTCTTTCTGGTTTCCCATCCACTGTATCTTGTCAGACTGGATCCATTGCATGCCGAAAACAAATCCGCGTTGGTTCAACGATGCACGGCCTCCGTTGCAAACGTCGATATATCCCATGTACTTCCCATATACTTTGATGCTCTCTGATGCTCTCTGATGCTCTCTGAGCGACTGACGCGTCAAGGCATGAGATCACTTGACCCTGCTGCAGCTTGATGTCCCTCAACAAAGTTAGCTGCCCAGACCTCAGCACAGTCACAGCCCAAGGAGTCTGTGCCCGTGCCGACGTGTGCCAATATGTGGCAACATTGTCCATCTTTGTCCTCAAGATCCTCAAGTCTCTAACACGTCCACAGATGAGAGCGCTTGAAGTTGCTCCCTGATGTCTTTCAGCTGGTCCGGCCTGGAAACACAACCGAGTCTTTCTGTTGCCGGGAACAAAGACAGACACTGACAGACACTTCGATGCCGTTCTGTGAAGGACCAGGACAATGGGGATACATGAGGAAACAATGGGAAACACATGGACATAGGGCACCAGGACAGGACATGCACAAGCGACCTGACAAACACGAGCAAACTAGAACCTCCGACAGAGCCTGCCAGTCCATCACATGACATTGTAGCATTAGGTATATAACCCTTCGGCCAATTCTGATTATTGTTTCACAACAATAAGACTATAGTTTGACAACATTTACAGTAACAACTGTATACAACTGTAACAACTAGTTTCATTGTTTCAATTTGTTTCATATCATTTAAAAGTGCTACACTCCCCTGTTTGAGTGCCCAGCGAGGTGAGCGCAGACTGCCTCGCCTCTGTCCGGACTTTTCACACAACTGTTTCGGATGTTTCAGAGGCTTTGCAAATTCAGATTCGTCCCAAAGACTAATATCCTGTGACGTTCACTATGATGTTTCGAAGCTCGATATGAGGATTCCCACAGAAGTGATTTGCTCTGGAATTACTTCGGCAAGCGTTTTGTCTAGGCACATTGAAGCATCTGGAAGACAGCCAAACATAGAACCAAAGAAAGTACTAGGTACTTCAAGTAGCATGAATACAGATGACTGTCTGGCTGAATGATGCTGAATGTACATAAAAAAAATATAAAAATACCGTTGATACACAGCGTCGATCTCTGAGTCACCAAACCTTGATGTCTTCCAACGCATTGCGGATCTGTCCTGCAAAAGGCATTGGTACTCTAAGCTGAGACACTTGAAAATCTCGAAACATTTCGAGAGTAATATTTCAGCCAAGGTTCCTTGCTCCACGCTGACGTCGCGCAGTGGCTCTTGCGTAGCAATGTTTGAGGCATGGATCCACCTGCCCAGTTTTGCAAACTTTGCAAACTCAGATGTGTCAAGTAGTGTCAAGCAGTGTCAAGTACGCCAAACGTTCCAAGGAGTTTGAAAGCTTTTTTGACCAGACATGGCTAGATACGGCTAGACATGGCTATTCGATTAATTAAAGGTTTTCCAACATGGAAGTTTCATGGAAGGCCACGGAATATCATGGAATATCACTGGTTGCAGGCGAGAGACCCCGAGACATTGACACGCAGATCGTTGAAGCCCTCCACTGTCAGCCGTTTCATCTCCTGGGCTTCGACTCTTCACACTTAGTGACATGATGTGACATGGTGGAGAGATGAGGTGACAGGGGGAGGATTTCTGGACCTGGTCAGTGGACATCGAATGATTTCATCATATCATCATATGAGTCATATGAGATGTGTTCAATTGTTTCATCTTCGGAACTCCAAATATCTCCAGAGATCTCCAAAAATGCAGAGCTGCACCTCCATCTGTTGAATCACTTCGGCCACTGGCTGTGTTGCCTGCGAAACAGATCTCCGCTGATTGCATGAAACAAATTGCTGAGGATCTTTGGTCTTGAAAACGCCCATGCCCAGACCATCTTCAAACTTCGAGCATCTGGCATTTCAGGACTTTTGGATCCTTCTTTGACTTCTTTGGGTTGAACATTTAGCAGCTACAACAGTAAAGCCTTTAAGCATATCTTGAAATATGTTGAAGTTTCATGATCTGGTGACCGCGGGGTGACCACCGTGACCAGCTCAGTCCGATTTTGCCTCTACCCGTGGCTGCAGCTGCTGCTCACGCTGAGCTTCTGCTACGGCGCGCACTGCCTGGAACGGACGTGCGGAGCTTCCTTAAACTGAAATCGAACTGAAGGAAAGGTTCTTCCAAACATTGAACTGCAAAATGCAACAATTGTGAAAATCACGTGAAAATACACCACATGACATAAAGCATTTGCAAAATGAAATCAAAGCTGTGAGCTGCCGGCCTCTTCAAGAAGCCGGGAGCTGGCCTGCAAATCCTGAAAGTGATAAGCGATGTGACAAGATCAAATTCAATGTATCAGTCGGGTGAAAGATCAAAGCTGCGGGTGACTAGGGTTAATATAGATGAATATAGAGCCTTATGATATCTTATGGACCTGTTCGTAGTAGCAGTGCAAAACTTTTTCTGGGTTCGGCGCTGTAATCTGCCGCACGGTGGAGAGATCCATCTGTGGCAGAAGGATCCACCCATGGGAATGGCAACAGATAACCACACAGGACCAATTGAAGTTGCTACAGAATGGTACAAATACATACAAATACCATAATGCGAGAAAATGGGATTTCTAAGGACACTCAGAAAAGATCTTCGACACTTTTCGAAATGGCTTTTTGGGACAAATCGAAACAGCTTTGCGCCTTCTCAAGCAGAGAAGACTGAGTGTGATCCAAGTGGTCTAGGCGAGCATGAACCTGCTGATGGCACGATTGAGAAGCCTGTTTGAAGAAAGAGTGGAATTCAATAGAATTCCAGGATAGTCGGGAGTCCGCCTTAAAATATCTTAATCTTGATGCATCTTGAAGCATAAAGTTTCGTTTAAATTTCATTGACGATGCAACGATTCATTGATCCTCCAACTCCCGTCCTGGTCCATCTGAATTGCTTGGCACTGGTCCAAGCGCTCGAGGCGAGACCAGACCTGCAATGGTCTGAACACCGTCAGACTCCTTTTCTCAAAGATGTTCAAAGATAATGGTAAAAAGAGGAGGTAAGAATATAATAATAATAATAACAATAATAACAATAATAATAATATATAATAGATGAAATATGTGAACAGAATTGAACAGATAGCAAAGACATGCAAAGACCAGAAAGACCAACTGTACTTGCTTTGGCATGTTGTCATTCTGAATCTCCCAATGATTTTGGTGCACATCTGTGCACACTTTGCAAGACGCATTAGAGGTTTACAACTCAGCTCTTGTCATGCTAGGGGACAACTCAATCAAAACAAACACAAGTTCGATCTATTTGATCATAGTTTCGCGTCATGCACCTAGCGGCAAACAAAGGCAGCAAGAACTAGTCAGCTATAGTCAGCTGGTTCGTCCCTAGGATGGCCATCAAGCCAGCGAACAGGTCCAACTTATCAACTCCTTTGCCACACCTGGTCTCTCACCTGGTGCATGGGCTCAAGCAATGATTGCAATTGCGCATCAAGGTTGGCACGCAATTCCTGCTTGAGGAGTCTTGGGGTGGACATGTCTGTGCCCAAATTTGTCTTCCTGGATGAAGCAGCCTGATTGGTCAGGGCCTTCATTCTTGATTTGTTGATATATTTTGACATTTCATGGACGATCAACTTTGAAGGATGGTTTGAAGGATGGTTTCAGATGTATCCGGATGAGTCACCAAAGGTTCTGACGATGTTATGATGTTCTGCTGGTGCTTCAGTCCTGGAGGTGTTCGCCCTGGGCCCGTGCTGCTGATGGTGCTGAGGCTGAGGAATTGCGGAGGTCGTTCATCAAAGTCTCAATCGACTCCTGGCAATGGAGACTTGCCGTACTTTCCCGTTGCCATTCATCCCGTTTATATCCGTTTATAAAGTGAAGATTAATAACAAGTGCTCATGTTGGTACTACATGGTACTGATTAATTTCATTGCGGTTTTCACAGTGCTTTTGGTTTTTCTCCTTAAATTTCAAACTCCAAAGCCAAACTGTGCGCCTTGAGTGAGCGCAACTCCTGGATGCCCTGCAGCTCCTATCACTTGAGACGACTCGACTGAGGTGATAGGTTTTCAGTCTCCGGCAATGGTAAAAAATGTCACAATATGTGTATATATATATATATGTGTGTGTGTGTCAATTTGCTGGAATAATTTGGACACACATTGAAGTTGATTCTGCTCAAGTTGCATGGATGTCTATGGAGGCATGGTCGAAGCGATTGTGAAACAATGTCCGGTAGTGGGTTCATGCAAATGGAGCTCCTCTGATACTGAGGACCGCCGCTCTATCTCCTGGGTGCAAGGCTACAAACATCAATGCTGTAAGATCATGTAAGATCTGCAAGTACAATTCAAGGAAGGAAACACGTCGAAATATATCGAAATAACATGCAATAAGAACTCTGTCTTTCGCGGACTGTTGAAAATCCCAAAGTGTTGGAAGCATGTGCGCTGATGTGCGCTGCAATCTCCTGTTGGATGGTGACTGGCTCGGAATTGGCACGCCAATCTCTTCGGCCCTTCAGACTTTCACCAAATCCAAGTTGCTCCAAGTCATCAGATGTCATCAGTCAGGGTTACTGGTTACTCTGAAATCAGGTGAGTCCGTGGATGTAGTCCAACGCAGTCTATGCTGTCAGTGTTTGATCGCAGTTGGTGCCTCTTCAATGAGGTGAATCTGCTGGCCTTGGTATGGACACTCGCTGAACAGGTCGAGGTAGACCACGGTGCTTCATGGCTTCAGGTCTTGCAATGTGCGTAGAATTGATGGTCACATAGCACCAAGATCCACCAAGTAGAGCCGATGTTTTCTCTCACTCTGGCAGTCACAAGTTGGACAGCCCAGCTCCGTGACGAAATGGGTACTTGAGATCCCCGACGCAAGCCGCCCACTTCCGTTCGGACCTGGCCGCTCTCCAATACAGCTGTCTTACGCCCTGTGCGTCTCCAGATCTGATGTTCATCCTGTTCGCATCTGTCCGCTCCTCTTGCAACCCGCAACTTTATCTGGTGTACATCTCTTTCAATGCTGATCTATTGAAGAAGTATCAACACTACAACCGCGAAGCGGCTCAACTTAACATCCTTTGAATCAGGGCGCCATCGTTTTCCTGTTGCATGAAACAATTTTAGCTCATGTTTTTGTCTTTACTTAATGTCGAACATCGCTTTTCCAACACTAAGTTTGCTTCAATGAACTTTAAGATGTTAAGATGTTTATACATGTTTCATAGTTTTTGAAACCTGAGCAATATTCGAACACATTTGTTTGAAACGTTTGAAATCCAGTGAGCTGAACATGTAGCTGAAAGAGCCGCATGTGTTTTTGTGTGTGTGTGTAGCCGGAGCGGCCACACTATACACTTAGGGGATACGATTTTGCCACATATCATGCTACATGCCAAAGACAAGTTGCACACAACTCATGTGTTCTCAAAGCAGTGATTTGCAAATTCAAACTACGTCCATTGCTTTGAGTCGCTTTCCATACAGGGTATGTCACAACATGAATCATACTGGCCCCCCTATTCACAGTTAAATCCATTGAAATCCTTTTCTAATCTTTCGTGCGGAAATGCCAGCTTCATGTGGAAGCGTGAAATTACAATCCCAAGATCTCTCAAGTTTCAACAAGAAAGATCTCTTAGTTTCCCAACATCAGAGCGCAGCTCGGAGATGATTTGGTTCACAGCGTCCGCAATCATCACACACAATTCCTGCGGATATACAGTCCGGTTTTACATTGGGTCTCACACGACAAAAGTCACCCACACCACCTTGTGCGAAACAGGAACATGATGATGAACAAATTAAGAAAATAGAAAGGTATGTAAATATGATTATAATATGTATATATATATGTATATGTATATGTATAAATATATATATATATGTATATATATATGTATATGTATATATGTATATGTATATATAATTATATGTATATACATATATGTATACATATATTATATGTATATGTAATGTATTCAAGGCGCAGTCCTCTTTGTTTTCAGCCAGGGTCGTTTTCAGGTCGAGGCCTTGATGCAATGCTGCGGTCGTTCGTGGCGGTTGACCAACAATTGCCATGTCTTAAATCCATGGAGAATCCATTGTCAAATTGTACATTCTTTTTTAAACATATATACAGCATTACATCAGCTGATGTCCGATGTCAACAGGCATTCTTAAATCTCAAGACAGTAAGACAGTACTAAGATCAAGGTGCCACGATGGACAATGGAAACTTGGACAATGGAAACTTGGCCATGCGTTCTGTGCTTTCCGTGCGTTGTCTTGTTGCACAGTCTCTTCCAGTGATGTGCTGAGGCTCAAGCGTAGCTGCTCCATTTCCAGACCAAGCCCTGCTAAGACCTGGCTGTGAGGTTTGGTTTCTGGTGGAGATAGCAGCATTGCATGTTGCTGGACCATGCTGGACCTCTGGCACGGCTCACCAAGACACTAAAACAAGAATGCTCACTTAGGTGACAGCTGTTACAAATGCAAGTCACACTGTTCAAGACAGACACGGCTTAATCATGCCATACTGCACAGGGCTTGTCTCTGTCAGATTTTGTTGAACCAATTCTCTACACCGGTTCTCTCTACTGCACGAACCCGTTGTTCCGATTCTTCTGATTCTTCTGCGTTCTGCGTTCTGCGTTCCTGCCTGAGTCTGTGATCCCATGCGTTCTCGCGAAGCTGTTCCCATTCTCTGGGATGAGCCGTCATAGGAAGCCTCCAAACATCTCCAAAGTCTTGAAAGAGGCAGAATGTGGACACATGGGAAGTCAGATTCAGTCAGTGTCACCGCAAAAAAGTTTGATTTGTTTGTGAAACCCTCAGAAGACAACTGCACAAAATGGCATGGGTCTAGGTCTTCCGGATAAAGCCATGGCAAGCGGCCCGCCTGCCCATTCCCATAAGGCGTCTGAAACCTGGAGGCAAGAGATGTACGGCAGGGCCGGAAAGGAGCAGCAAACTGTGGCAACATGCGGGAAAACAACGTTTTCTGCAAAGGTCAGGTGCATTATGTTATCCCGATTCCCCCTTGAAACAAATTGGGCGTGGTAGGTCAATCCAAAACATATCCAGCACTTCCTGAAAGACTTTCCTGAAAGACTTTCCGGACTCGTTTCCCAGACTCGCGACACGGTAAAATCGGGTAGTGATGCAGTTTGCCCAGGAGTCGGCCGAGCTGAAGCGCATTGAAGCGCTGAGCTGCCCACGTGTCGATGCGTTGCCACTTGTGGCGCTCTTGGTTCACTCGGCTGATGTCCAACGTTCGAATGGCTCCGCCTTCGCGGCCTGCCGAAACGACATGGTTCACTCGCAGAGAAATGTCACCATAGCAATATAGCTATAGCTACACAATGCACATCACAATATGTCACAATATGAATTATACATATGTGTCAACAGATGTAGTGATGCAATCATACCGAATCATACCGTATATTATCGTATATCATGTATATTTACACTCATGACTCATGACTTTTGTTTTGCTGTAAACATACAGCTCTACACATGCTTTGTATCCAGTATTACCCAGCAACCTACTCAGTGGATCCACGCCCCTCACCTGGCTGTTTATGGGACATGGAGTAGAACCTCAAAGCGACAGGTGTGATTCATTGTGATTCCAACTGTAATATATGATTTCACATGGTTGAGCTTCTACTGCAATTCATTACGTCATTGCAAGCAAGGCCATGTTGGTTAGCAGTTCCGAAAACGTCTGCGTGTGACAGCCTTCCTAAAGCTGCTGCGTTTTTCTTCTCCCCGTCAGGGACCCCTGCTCTGCTTCCTGAGAATCCTCTCCTCTTTGCCGTAGTGGATCCTCCGATGCAGGTTGAAAGCAACATCTTCCATGAATCTTCCATGATAATAACAATAACAATATTTTTAGATTATATACATACAAACTAGATGTAACTAGTAATAATATTGTAACATATTGTAACTATTTGCAACTTGTAGTAGTTGCATTGCGGTGCATTGGTCCGTGGCGGCCAATCTTTTTTATCAATTTTTGTCATTGATGGGAAAGACTGGACGGCAGCCAAACAGTCAACTGGAAAAGAAGTAGTGCTACCATGTGCTTATGTATTGACAAATTGATCTGCATTTCAAAAAACTGTTGACAAACCACTTAATTGCTTTGGTGTTGAGGCAACGTGACTTTGGAGCCTTCAACTGGTGCTTGGCCGAGACGGAGGCCACAAAGTGCCGGAAGTGACCCGGACCTGCACCAATGCCTTCGCTTCGCGGCTTCGGGAAGGAGGATAGAAGGTAAGAATTGGTAAGAACACATTTTAAAAAGAACACAGAAGGGAAGAGAGCGAAGAAAGCACATCTCTCCATTCTAACAATTGGCAGGACACGGCTGGCTTATGAAAATATTTGCAACTGTGCCATGTTCCAAATAACATTCGGAGCGTATCATTTCGAATATTTCAATTTATCAAAAGATTCTTGATGGATCGATTATGATCAATTTCATTCTTGATGGTTCTGTCAGTTTCTGCCCTGTGTGTTGATGTATCGCGGCCTGCATCCGGAGGTGGTGCGCTGCAGCCATGAACCAAAGAAGCCTCTTTGGGCTCTCTGGTTAGGCGTCCTCGGGTTCCAGCATGACTGAGCCCTCAAAAGGTTGCGTGGGGTCAATGAAAATTAAAAATATTTAAAAATTATCCAACAAATTGAGAAGTTGTCTCATTACAGACTAAATCAACTTGTGCGCACTTGACGACAAAAAACATCTTCCGAGAATTGACTTTCGCTCGCCCAGTTCACCGTTACAAATCTTCAAACCACTGTCGCTGTAGAATATCATGTCATATCACACCAACTCACAACACCCCAAACTGCTCAAACTGCTCAAACTGCTTGGCCGCACCAATTGGCACCATGTCTCGGCCACGACTCATCCAGTGTTCCAGGATCCCCCACCACGTGCAGAGGCGGGTCGCTGTGACATGGCACAGGACTAGATTCTGCGGAGCGCAGCTGCAAAATGAGCTGTGTAAACCATGTGCAGTTCAGATAGTTCAGCAATGCTCCAGCAACGCTAGACATGCATACATATGCTAGATTTTGTGAATGGTACACATTCTTTCTCGCAGCTATGACATGGTCTAAGGCCTATCCCCACCTCTGTGCAGAAGTCGTGTTTCATGATCTACAAGCAACTGTGTCGACACCTCTTATCACTAAAAGCTTGAACCGTTTCAATCGCAGCCTAACATTACAGGGGTCGAACCCAGCATGTATCTAGCGCTGATACAGTAGGACACAAAACAACTTTGTTGCCGCCACTGGGCTTGCGAGTAAGATGCAGTACGATAAATGCCGAGATGTAAAGAACTGACATGGATTCGATTTGTCTTTTAATTTTTCAGCAAGTACATCAAGCATCATCAAGCTGCATTGTTCAATTCTCTCAAAATCTATAGGAAACAGAAAGCAGCCGGCGGCATCGGCTCTCACAGCCTTTTTTGATCTCGCCATTTCATGGGAGAACCATCTGTACAACAAAATACAACAAATATATCTATGTCATCTGATCCGACACGCCGCTGACAGCATGTCAATGACACAACATGAGTTTACATGAGTTTACACTTTACTTTACACTTTACTTTACACTATTTGACCTTTTACTCTGCCCTTCACATCCCTTTATCCTACTTCTGACCTAAAGTTTTACACACTAGCGCCTATGCCAGCCATGTGATATTGTGGTCTGCTCTTCTCGTTCTCACACGATGGCATCCACACAAACCAGCCAGTGTCAATTGAAAGCCAATCTGCCCTCTACTGACGCACCTAAAACATGATATTGCAATGTTACATCCTTCACAAGTGAAAATGCCATCTTTGAAAGCGCCCCTTTTTCTGAACGTCAGATCATGATCTGTAGAATCTGTAGGGTTTATTTCTCTTGGCGTCCTCGGCGTCGTAAAAAAAAAGCTGAGATGCTTCCGCACCTGGCAGCGCCTGTGAAGCTGTGAAGGCTTGAATTGAACGACTGAGAAGTTCATTAGTCCTCCTGTTACACAGTAATTGTAAGATCCGTGCAATACAGGGTGTCTCTCATCACAATGGTGAGTGCTCATGTCCAAGCTTCATGTTCATGTTCTCTTCTGAGCACTGCTGCAAAATGCTGCAAAGCTTGGACTCTTCGCATCAGTTTAATTCAAATAGACATTGACTCATTGACTCATTAGAATCATCAGACATTGAAATTCGATGAAATTCGTCAATGTGTAGCTGTATAGCTATCTGGCTGAGCTGTCTAGCTTTATTTGTTTACAGTTGTGTGGTTCCAGTTGCGTTCCAGCCTCCTCTGTGGTTTCATTCCTGTTTTCCAGGATATTCTTTGACTTTGTAATTACCAGTTGGTCATCTCAAATCTGCTTCATCCCTGCTTCTCTCCAATATAACATCAAATCAAAATGGATCAAAATGATTCAAAACGGATAAAACATTATAAAACTGCATGTATTTTAGGTCTCAGGAAGTCTACATTGTCATACGTCATATAATATGTATAATATCTCACAGTGTCGTAAAACACAGTCGTCCTTGTCCCCAAGCTCAAAGATCTGAAAAAAATGGAGCCCAGGATGTCGTGTTTCTACAGCCGACTCAGGGTCCTACGCCGCACCGCCCTTTGATCCCTTAAGGATCTCAGTTGTGGCCTGCAGGGCTCCAATTTCAAGCTCAATCATTCATCACAGTCAGAGAGATCATCGTAAATCATCGTATTAAAATCAGATACTTTTTGGACAGGTAGGTAGGATCAAAAGAAGCTCTGCCAGTAAAACATGTTACAAATATTTACAAATGCCTTCCACACCTTCCACCCTGTCGTCCCTAATTGCATCCAGGCGGCTGCTCTGACAAAATACGGTTCTGTGAGCTGTCAGCCATCAGTCCTGAGAAGGCATGGGGATGGGTACAAGTCTTGAATTACAAGAGTATCACCATAAAGAGATCAAACATTGAACGGATTGATGCCAATAATGATAGACAATTATTGAATATTATTGATACATATTGTACCTGTCCCTTGATTGCATCAAAATGATCTGTGCGTGCTTGGAAACTTCGCTGAGCTCCGTTACAGCGCTGGAGGATTCACCATCTCAGATCGAAGCTCCCTGAGAGAATTGCGGAAATTGCAGAAGATCAATAGCTATCATACAATATCATACAATATCATACAATATCATACAATATGTCAATATCATTCAATATCTATCAAGATCTCATAAGATCTCAAATACACTGTAACGTTCGTGGTCCAAGAAATCCACGTATCTCCATGTGACGAAATGAGTTCACACAAACTCATCAACTCCGTGGCCAAACAAATGCCAAGAAATGTGAAGAACTCATAAGAACTCATAAGAACTCACATCAAAACATGTCAACTTCATGTCAACTTCATGTCATCTTCATGTCATCTTCATGTCATCTTCACGTCATGTCCCACTTGCAGCTCAGCTAAGCTACCCAATGGCGCCAGATTGCGGGCCCTTCTTGCCTCCGCTCCTTAGATGGTCAAAATCCAGAGCTTTTGTTCAGTTGGGGTGTGAGAAGATTAAGAAGCTCCAGGTTTCATTCCAGTCACAGTCGTCCTACTGTTGCATCCTGTGTTGCATTCTGTTGTTCTAGGCTTGTTCTACTGCTGTGGCATTCTGATACATTCAAGGACCTGAGGACAAGACGCAGCCGACAAATTGCTCTTCGAGCGCATGCTCCTGACGCAGATACACAGTCACAGCATGGTCACAAGTTTTTTCTCCATGTTTCAGTATATATTTCATTAATTTTCATTATCTTTCACTAACATGGCTTTACACAGATTCCATGTTTTTTCTAAGATCTGTGTTGCCATGTGTTACTGACCTGAGCCACTGAGGCTGGAGCTGTGGGCCCGGCAAACCTGACTTCCCCGGCATCCGGCAAGATCCGGCAAGGCAGAGCATATCTGGAACAGAAAATGCTGATGTACGGAGTATACGGAGCATACGGAGCATGTCACTTGTCAGAGACATTGCAGGTTCATATGATACATATTCTGACCCTGACAAGGGCTTACTGATGAAACTGAAGAAACCCTGATTCTCCTGGATCCGCTGCAACTTCGTCTATTCTGACTCCTAAACCAAGGCAAGAACTCTTCATTGTCTCCTTGTTCTCGATGGCATTCTGCCGTGATGCACCTTATCGAAAGTCAACGGAACAGCTTCAGCTTGAGCTGCAACTCCTTGGAGCTTCAATCTTCGTTGATCTTCGTTGATCATGTTGATCTTCATTGTGTGAATTTTGAGGCCATCACTTCGCACAGCGTCCCTTAGCAGAATGCCGTCTTGCCAATTATGAAGGATTGCAAAACTTAAAGCTGAAAACCTCCGTTTCACTTCACCCCAGTTCAACACCAGATCCTAGAAAATATTCATCAGGGCTTGCAATGGCTTTGAGACTCCTACACATCCCAAGTCATTCCAATCTGAAGCTGCCTCCCTTCCTAGCATGAGCCTCACCGTTCCGGCCATGTGCTTCGCATTTTGTCTGCGGCACCAGGCTTAAGAGCTGTAGCACTGATACTCCTTCCCAATGCAGGAGATGGCGCAGGGTCGCCTCACAAATGGCGCAACCAGAGCTGATAAGATCAGCAATGAGGTTACACAAATGTTACAAGCGTGTTTGTGACTACAAAATATATCAAAATATTATCACTGCAAGATATCATGTTACATCAGTATGATGCATCTCACGCTGTCAAAGGTAGTTGATTGCTGGTATGCTCTTGGAATCCTGCGCTGCAAGCTAGAAGCTGGAAAACATTATCATTCACATCCATTTATATAAGGGAATCCTCTTAGGTTGCGGCTTCCTTGCGATGGAGATTTTTGCACCTTTTGCCCTTGGGCCATGCATGGGGGCCACAGAATCGGATGGATGCGGTCAAGAATGGTCAAGATATAAAGTGATCAAATATCGATCAAATCATGGGGCTAAACGGATCTAAACGGTCAAGAATTCTCGCAATGCAACATCTTAAGTTCAACATCCCTGCTGGCGTGCATGTGTCTTAACTTGGAAAGACAAATGATGAAAAGAAACATGAAGCAAACACTGGGCTAAGTACGGGAGACGCTTCTTGCCGGCTTCGAGCCTGTGCTCGAATGCTTTGAGATAGAGAGCACGCAGAAGAACCATCCGACAAACTGAAAACATCGGAGTTTGGCAGTTTGGCCTGACTCCGATCTGCTGCTTGGCGAGCCTGAACACAACTGATGCAGAGTTGAAGATTGAGAAAGGAATGGAGGAATGGAAATTGGAGAATAAAACATAATAAAATATAATTTGGAGTATTTCTTAATATTTCTTATTTTATATATATATATATTTTTTGGCAATCCGCTGGCGCTATAAGTCAGGCTGATGGCTTGCAGACAAACAAGTGTCACTCGTAAAGAAGACTGAATGTGTCAGTGGTTTGTCTGGTGACCAGATTTTAGGAATATGATTCGGTTCGAAAGATTCTAGCAATTGCCCGTAAACAGCTCCAAAACAAGACGACGATTCTGCACATATACATCTGATCCGACGAATTTGAAATTGAAAAGTAATCATGTAATCTGACATAACTAATACAACTATACGTAACTGACACAACTAACACCAGTCAATACTGTCAATACTTCTACACCTCCGCAATGTGCCTCGTGGATCCTCATCCTGCTCTGGCTCACTGCCAAATTTACTCTCTGAAGCCTCAACTTCTGGACTCTGATGTGCCTGGGCGCCAGGGCGAAGCCAAGCCGAGCATCAAACAAATCATAACATATTAATATATCATAATATATCACAATATATATATATATCACATGTATATATATATACATATGATTGTGTATATATATAATATACGCATATATATCATTATATATATATATATGTATA